CCTGGCGCGGGGACCATGCCCCTACAAGCTCCGATGGCGGTGACGTCGTTCCAGACGCCGATGCCGCAACCATCACCTTTCCAGCCCCAGCTGGTCAGCACCATGGCCCCTGTCAACTTGGCCGGTGCACTTAACGCTGCAGGGCCGTCGCGTCCCCCGCAAGCTACGGATCCGCAGATCACTCCTGATGGTCATTGCGTCTCAATTGAGAGCGATGACGGCGAGTGGGACATCCCGAGGGCCCACAAGAAGAAGAAAGGAAAAAACATCCGGCCAGCGACCTCCCGAAACTCCGCCTTCGAAAGGCTGGGGGATAGGGAGGAAGGCCAGAGGAAGTCAGCCAAGCAAAGGCTGGGGCAGAGCGTTGCCCATGTCAGCGCATTCGCCTGGCTAGGCGAGGTGCGGGAGGCCGAGCCTGCCCGCACCCGGCGCTCCCGGTCTAACCGGCAGGAGCTAGCGAGGACGAGGGCCTCCCACCAAGAAGGGGAGGCAGAGAGCCAGCCCAGGTTACCGGTGGCGAACCGGTTAACCATCCCAAACGACCAAGTCTTTTAGCTTTGAAGAGATAAAAATCAGATTTAAAGAATGTGGATTTTAAGCTTCAAATTTGGTTGTGGAAACCAATTCTTGTGCATTTTTGCACTTTTCAAAACAAAATGCTGCATATGAGAAGGTTAGTTATGTCATGCATGTGCAAAGCAGCTCATATGCATCTATTAAACATCATAATTCAGCACATATGCATCGGATGAACTCAAAAATCAGATTGAACACCAAGAAAAGATTGCAGATTTTTTCCTATTTCAACACCTATAAGCTGTAGAAAGTGTAAAATTTGCATTTTGCACTCAAAAAATCAGCTTACAAGTCCAAAAATAACTTTTCAAAGTGCAGAATTTTTCCTTAGTATCCAAAAATCAGCTGTAAACAATGCACATGTCTCAATTTTCAGCTCAAATAAGACCATATTATAACACCCTTAGATTTTCAACAAAGCAACCATTAGGTACTTGAGACAGTTGGTCTAAGACAGAATTTTGCACATACTATGCAGATATTAACCATATAAGCTCAAGAATCAGATTTGAATGGGATAGGCTATTCACTTGTGCAAAAAAGTATGACTTTATAGTGCAACTTCTCATTGTGCAAATTGTAATATCAAAAACCAAACTTTGAACACAAAAAGGTAAGGAAACTAAAGCCCAAACCTATAATACTGATTTGGATCATATTTCACTTTTTTTCCTACTTGGACTCGCTGTTTCAAACCAGGTTTTGCACCATTTCTGTGCAGACTTTCACTCCAAAGGAGAATACTTCTACCTATAACTTAATAGCCCTTGCATTTTCACTCAAATAAATGGTTAGAAGCATACATGGAGCAAAAATAGACCATTAAACAAGCACCAAAAGCAGCAATATTTCTGAACTCTTGATGATGAAGTTTTTTTCCATTTTTCTGATTTTTTTTCTTCTGTTTTTATGATTTTTTTGTTTGTGTTTTTAACAAAACCAAAAGATTAATAAGAAAACAATAATACAAATTAAATAAAGAGCAAGAAAAGTATGTGGGTTGCCTCCCATAAGCCGCCCGATTTAACGTCAATGGCTAGACACAACTTACTACTTGCAAAAACAAAACATATTCACTTAGGCCATCAAGTAGTATAGAGAAGTAAAAGTGTTTCTTTAAAACAAATAAAAAGAATTGAAACAAGATAAAGAATAGCTTTTTTATGTTCAATTAAAATGGAAAAATCTGATTTAAAGATGCACAAATAGGCTTCAAAGTCTTTTTGAAACATATTTTCTGCATTTTTTCCACTTTGAGAGCAACAAGGAGCATATATCGATCAAGACAAGATTAAAAACGCATGCTAAATGCTCCCACATAAGTTCCCATGCAAGTTTTTAACAATGAAACTTCAAAATTCAGCATATAGGCATCTTTGAACACAAAAATCAGCATGAAAAACAACCAAAAATATTGCAGATTTTTTACGAAAACAGCACTGCCGGTCTATTTTTATCAAAAATTCAGCCCCTAAAACATCAAAATCAGCATAAAAACATCATGGCATGCTTCAAAATATTATACCCAAGGAAGATATATCAATTAAAGATTATTTTTTGAAGCAAAGAAGCACTCCAAGGGACAAAAAACAGCAAGAGTAGTGCAGATTTCTAAAAAATCAGCAAAACATCCGATTCTTTTTTACAAGACCAACAAAAACATACACAATACATACAGATTAAACTATATGAAATGTTACTCGGCATAAACCTCAACCACACAGTTCCTAATGTATTAGAGAGTGAGCCTAGTCAAGAGTAGAAGAAAATTATGCAACGGAGGGGGCATTAAAAGTCAATTAAATTTTGTTTCTTTAGAAGTTTACAAGAGTCTACGGAACTGTGGATTTAAACCGGCCAACACCCCTTAGAGAAACACGAAAGCTGAAAGACAGCAAGAGTTATATTTGAAAGAAGATTTAGAAAAGTCGGGCTGCACAAAAGAGTAGAATATACATTTTCAATTTGCATGTTCAACTCCACCCCTCTCATTCATATTGACTAACAGTGCAGTTCATTTATGAATCCTTAACTGCATCACCAGTCAACATTCAACGCCATAGGACCAATGGCTAGAACAACAGAATAAGAAGAAAAATAAAAAGCCAGAAATTAAAATGGCTTTCTTTACAAGCAATTAGTAATCTCTAGAGGACACAAACAATGAGACAACATAAAAGAAGCATGTGGTTAGATTGTAATTGAGGGATATTTCAGTGGATGAAATATGGTGTTTGAGTAGTAATCGTGTTGAGGTATTGTGTTTCAGCGATATTGTTTGAAATATTGTGTTTTAGCTGTTGGAGATCTATATAACTAAGTTTGAGTAGTAATTGTATTGATTCTTAATAGTACTTATTTATTTTTAATTGCAGCAGTTTATGGTGGAGTTCTAAACGTAAGTTTTGCTTGAGTGGTAGTAATGAATCGGAGTTCTTTGGTTAAATAAAATAAATAAATAAATAAATAAATAAAAGAGCTCCAAATCACTATGGATTAATTAGGAAAAATTTGTTCTCCCTAACAAATTTGCCGATAGAGGTGGAAGACGGGCACACCCTTCATCTAGTTGAGAGAGACCCGACAGCACCAGCATCTACGAGCGGTCAACAACATGAAGGTTCCATTACCTCTCTTCAATTTCCTATCAAATCCTTCTTCTTTTCAGTTTTGAACTTGCTGGAAGCTGAAATCTACAAAGGGGGCATGTTAGACCTACTGAGCAGACCGCCACCACTGTTGTGGCCTTACCGGAATGGCGGTCTGCTCAGTAGGTAAGGCCACAACAGTGGTGGCCGTCTGCTCAATGCGTCTAAGTGGGACAAGGGCGATCTGACGCCGCATCGCTTCCAACCTACGCATGTCTCTCAAAGCCATGGCGCTCAGAGCCATCATGCGAACCCTCAATTGTATTAACCGGACCCTCAGTTCCATGACGCAGGTCTACGATGACGTAACATGCAACCTCAATACCAATGGACGTTTTACTAGAATGATTTGATTGGGAACCACAGTAGGTTCTGCTACATAATTCAAAACAAAAATAACTTAATTGTTACACACATACAAAAAATAGAAAAAACAAGCATTCACACACTCACAAATCAGCTTCCAGCAGGTTCAAAACTAAAAAGAAGAAGGATTTGATAGGAAATGGAAGAGAAGTAATGGAACCTTCATGTTGTTGGCCGCTCGTAGATGCTGGTGTTGTCAAGTCTTTCTCAACTAGATGAAGGATGTGCCCGTCTTCCACCTTTATCGGCAAATTTGTTAGGGAGAACAAATTTTTCCTAATTAATCCACAGTGATTTGGATCTCTTTTATTTATTTATTTATTTTATTTAACCAAAGAACTCCGATCCTTTACTACCACTCAAGCAAAACTTATGTTTAGAACTCCACCACAAACTGCTGCAATTAAAAATCAATAAGTACTATTAAGAATCAACACAATTACTACTCAAACATAGTTATATAGATCCCCAACAACTGAAACACAATATTTCAAACACAATCGCCGAAACACAATACCTCAACACAATGACTACCCAAACACAATATTTCATCCACTGAAATATCCCTTTGATTATGTACTTAAGCATTTCGTGCTCTCTAAACAGCTTAACAAATAGCAACCACGGTAGCTCCAAATCCTCTGATTGTGTACTTAAGCATTTCGAGCTCTCCAAACAGCTTAACAAATAGCAACCATGGTAGCTCCAATTCAAGTATAGACTTGAGCTTCAAATCGTATCCCATCCACATAGATAACTTGTTATACATATCCATAACACAAGGGCAAGACACAAACAAATGATGAATATCTTCATTCGGGTGACTGCAAGAGTTTTGGATATCAATGGACTTACTCAGTCTATATTTAGTTGGCAACCTGTCCCTACATAATTGAAAGCAAAAAATTTGGTGTTTGGAAATGCTACATTCATCCCAAACCAGGTTTTTCCAAGAGGGGCACGTTCTAACACCTAACAACCAGTTCTAACCCTCCTTTACACTGTAATCTCCATTTCTAGGCCTATTAGTGAAGACTTTCAGGTTTTTTTCCAATAGTAGCAGGCATTGGAGCTGCTATTATACTCCCAAGTTGATGTTCCTTTAAGGTATATACTATGGATCCATTTGACCCATATAGTTGTTGGGGTATCCCTCCTACATGGAGGAAGGAGTTCCTAAACAATACATTTGGTGTTAAAAATGTTATTTGTTTAGAGGTGGAGTAATATAATAATAATAATACGGAGTAATATTTATTATTATTATTATTATAAGAAAGAAAGAAAAAAAGGGTCAAAGTGGGGGCTGCCACTTTGTAGAAAAGGCAAAAGCCTTTTGTGGCTGGTCACGGGCAGAACTGAAGCCGAATAGCGCAGAAACAGAGAGAAAAAAAGAGGGTGAAGCCGAGAGAAGGAAGAAGAGAGAAAAAGAGAGGTGCAGCCTGGTTTTGTGCTCCGATCGACGACTAAACGAGCTCCGATCGGGATGAAATTTTAGTATGTTGTTCCTGAGATCCTCTTCTTCATATCCAACGGTGGGATTGTTGTTTTGACCTCTCGATGTCGGTAAAATCGCCTCTGTTTACTGCTGCGTTTTTATTGGGGATTTCTCACTTTTGAGTGAAGATTATTGTTGTTTGGTGTTCCAAGTTGTTACTTGATGATTGTGTATACCTCTAATTGATTTAGAGAGGATTCTTGGTGTACCCACTGATTTTCTTGCTGATTAGTGGAAGGCTTCGTGGTTTTTTCCCCGATTTGGGGTTTCCACGTTAAATCTTGGTGTTCGTTTATCGTTTGATTGATTGCTTGTTGTCGTGTTTGCTATTCTTGATCATATGATTTTGCCCATTTTGACAACACAAAGACGGGAAAATTATTAATTGCTTCCGCTAGAAAATTGAGGTGATTTTCCCAACAATAGTATGTCCTTATTGGCAACGACCCACATCAATTTCATAGCAGTTGCTCTGTTCCAAAAAAAATAGATTCTTTAAACCCGAGCCACCTGAGTTCTTGGGCCTACAGACTTCATCCCAAGCAACCAAAGGGCTTATTTTACAGCTTTGTGAAGATCCCCAAAGGAAATTTATACAAATACCTTGTATTCTAAAGAAATTTTAAAAAATGAGTATGGATACGGTAGTCTGATAGAGTTTGACCATCTCTCAACACCCTCCCACGGCCTCTGGTGTTCTATGGCCATGCCTGTGAGGGATGCGAGGTTTTCCTTGAGTGCTAGAACATTAGTCTTAGTGACGTTGGAAAAGAATTGAATATTAGGCAGAATTTAACACACAAAAAATGCAGTGGAAAATGAAGATAGAGAAAATCAGGATTGTCTGTAAAATTCTTACGGATTTTTCAACTTTCACCCGGAATCCAGCGTTTTGATGGTGATCTCCAAATCTTCCTTGGGATTCATCTTCACACTATTCAAACACCCAGAAACAAAAAGCCATAGTCTTTTCAATGTCGAACTCAAGATTCCCATAGAGACGCTAAAAATCAAGACTCCATTTTTCATAAAGAAAAGCACAGAAATTAATTGTGAAAAGAAAGGCAATAAACGAAATAGGAATAAAGATTGAAAGAAACGAAGCGAACCTCTGGAAAGAAACTTCCAGGCTCTTTCAGTGCGAGTGCAGAAGAAGAAGAAGAAAAAGGAAGGGAGGGATTTCAAATGTCGAATTTATAGGTTACTGCGTATAAAGCGGAGTCTGGTTACTACTAACTAATAACTATTTACTACCACCCTAAAACTTTCTTCCCGTTGCGCAAAGCGAAAAAAATCCTAAGTTTTTTTAATCTATTTTATTTAAATATTGGTATAGAAATAAAAAATAAAACACATATTTAAAAACTACATCAAAAGTTCAACAAAACAAGTGGTGACAAGAATATTTTATTTTATCATATAGGCCATGAAAAAACACAAATAAATATAAGTTCCCGTGAAGTTGGAATGGTGCTTTAGTAAGAAAGTTTTAGGACGGAGGGAGTAATAAGTAATCATGTTTTAAGGTGCAAAATTTTTAAGTTATGGTTGTTGAATCCAAATTTGATACATAAAAAAATTCTAATTACACAGCTACAAAAACTTTTAGTTTTTTTTATATAAATATTGTTTCATCATGCAACAATAATGTGTTAATACTTCGCATAATTTCATGAAAATATTAAATTTACCATTTTAGGCCCACTAAAAATATTCTCGTAAAGACTACAACAATAACAACAACCCAATTGTTGTTCTAGTCTTTACGAGAATATTCTCGTACTATTATTGCCAAAATAATGCGAATTGATTAAATTTAATAGTGATAAACTTGATTAGTCCGCATAAATATGTCAATGAGACGAAGATTCTTGGCAGGCAAGACTAGAAAAAACACTATCGACTATGAAAATTTAGGCAAACCCCTTTGATAGACCAAAACCCCCCGGGTGTATTTTTTTTTTTGTCTATACGATATATGTATAAAATATGAAAAATATATAAACAAGAATATAGAAAATAGACTTTTGACGTGAAAACCAACCCGGTGAAAACCACGGGCCTTTTTCAGCGTACCATGCCAACGGAGATGTTTTATTATATATTGGGGGTATATTTGTACAATATATTGGCGTGATCGCCATTGATGGAGCTCAAAGCTCCATCAAGAAGGAGAAGATGAACATGGTGAATACAATATATGTGGGGAATGTAGAAGGTGGCCCCCCTTTCTTCTTGGTTATGTGTCTCTTATATAGCATCAAGGTAGGAGCCTAGGGTTAGGGTTCCCTAGCGGGCTCCTTGTGTGGACCGGCCTAATATCTTTCCTTAGGCCCAGGTGGTATTATCTCATCGCCCTCTAGTATTTTTATACAAATTATATGAATTTTGTATAACCTAGTACCCTGTGCTGACAATTATTCTACCTTCGTCTCTGAATTATCGTCTCTTTTTGGCCAAACGACAACATCTTTTACCAGACACTAAATATATTTTTTAATACTCCGTAATTAATTTGTATAAAAATTTGATGTTTTAAAACCACGTCTTAAAATAAACCCAAGAAGAAAGGGGGGTTTAAAAAATTGAGAGAATTGCGGGTTTTATCTCATTATAAAAGGAGGCGACTCGCACAAGATATGGATAATTTTAACTTGAGTTTAAAAAATTTTAAAAAATCTTGATTCTGAAGCTTAAGGGTCTGTCTGGTATACAGAATTGATGGAATTGGAATTGAATTGGAATTTAAATTCCATAGGATTCAATTCCATAGAATTGAATTATGTCAACTCCAATTCATTTTTTGCACTATCAATTCCAAATCCACATAATTTTTGTGCTACCAAACATCAGAATTGGATTTGAAGCCCTCAATTCCAATTCCATAGTTTGAATTCCGTGTACCAAACGGGGCCTAAAGAATGATATTTAGACTTCAAATGCGGCTCAGATTTTAATTAGAATCTAAAATCTAGATTCAAAAAAGTGTCCGGTCCGGTCTTTAAATAAAACTCGTTTTTGGTTTGACCCGCAGAGAACAGTCGAACCGCACGACCGGCTCCGCCCAGAGGGTTCACGGCTCCAAGGTAACTTTTGTTTTATTTTACAAAAATCTACACCTTTAGGAATCGAACCCTAAACTTCTAGCTCAAGCACTACCATTTCCGTCCAGCTACACTACTAGAGTAAGTTTTTTTATGTGTATAAAATTATAAATGTTTTTATATATTCATTGCACAGCCTTCATTTTAGGATAGCACCTAGCTAATGTATGTTTGTAGAAAACTTTCCAAATTTTAACAAGATAGTTATATTTGCATTCTTTAAAAAATAGAGATATATTTGTGTAAGGTTCTTATTTTAAGAATTTTCAAAATATTTTTTATAAAAAGTAATGAACATTATTTTTTCTATTTTTTTATTTCAATAAACTAAAAGTTCTAAAACATTAATAAAGGTAATAAAAATTAAAATTTGAAAGTGTGAAAGAGTACTATATGAAAAATGATATTAAAAACTAGGTGGAGAAGAAAAAAATACAAACTTAAATATTTTTATTATGTAAGAATATCTATATTAATTTATTAAAAATATTGATATATTAAACATATTTTTATTTTAATTACAATTGACCAATTCGTTGACCCGGTCTGACCAATTAACTCTTGACCCAAATGCTCGTCTGGGTCGATATCCGGTCCAGTTTTCAGAACATTGCAAAAAAGTGGAGCACGAAGGTCGAGTAGGAAGAATCATAAGTGGAGTAACACATAGCCCTCCAAAACCTATCAAGAACAATCTTTCACAAAAGTTTGTCATGACAACATATTAGGTTGCTAGACACTCAACTTGGTATCAACTTCAATATCTGGGTCTAAAATTTAGAAAATGTTATCCAAAGACTTTGAGCATTTTCGGATGTAATCTACACTATTGAAAAATCATACAAAATGTTAGCATCGATCACAAACATTATTCCCAAACAAACGCAAAATCATTTTGGTGATTGTGTGAGAGACCTCAACATGTGTGTGTTTCACTCTTAACAGATGCATTTCAATATTTATGAATAGATATATTTTTTGAAACATATATTAATGATGAATAGAGTGCAATTATTTTTTTAGGATAAAGAGACTATGGATTTCCTTCACCAACCCTAAGGCTGCATTTGGTACACAAAATTCAAACTATATAACTGGAATTAGGGATAACAACTCCAATTCTGCTGTTTGATTTGGAATTGGTAGTGCCAAATATGAATTCGAATTGGAGAACTCAATTCCACCAAAATCAATTCCATAAAATTTCAACCTCCAATTCAATTTCAATTCTACTCATTCCGTGTGCCAAACAGAACATAAATTTCTTTATAATTCAGTTGGTGACATGGGTACATACTATGGAATAAAGAAAGGGAGAAAAGTAAGTATCCAAAGAGGGAGGCACATATACCAGAACCCTGAAATAAACAAATCAAACAAACATGCTGACCCTAACTGCTGCATCCTATGGCATCCCCTGCCAGAAACCAGATACAAAGGAATCAACTTTTTAAGTAAACAATGGAAGGTAGAATCTTCGATGGATGGTACTAATCGCTAATGTATGTCTTTCCCTCGTAATACTTCTTCTCACTTTCTGCCTTCTTCTCATTCCTCTTCTGAATCAAATAAACAAAACTTATTAATATCACCTGCCTACACAACAAACAAGTGTCTCAAAATATTGCTGCATCCTTGACCAGGTGATCGAATCACAAAAAGAAAAGCTGATTGTATGCCTGCCCTAGAGCCCCCTAACTCTTAGTTTTTGTTGAGAAATGGTTATATTGTGAATGTAAAAATCTAACCACCCCTCAACTTGATCTCTTACGTGAATTATTATTTGCTATGTTCTTGTGGTGCGATTAGATTGCTGGGGTGAAGCATGTTTAGTTTGGTTTTTGTCGCATTTTTATTTTTTTGTTATATAACTTGTGTCTTTTTAAATGCATCTTCATTGAAAAGATTTTTTTAAAAAAAACTACCTACAGTGCCACAGTTTTTTATATATAAATAACCTACTACTCTGTATCATTTTTCACATTTGTTTTCACCCGCAGCATTTGTAACTAACCTCACCATCACAACTTATTTCACACTTTCTAACTCACTCGAAAAACGCGGCCTTAAGATCTCATAAAAAGTCAACATCAATGATGATAACCAGTTCGTGCATGGCATCAAACATTCAAGCTAATCTTTCCAAAGTTTTACGATCACTATTGCATAAGCTTGAGGAGAAGTGGTGTAATCCTTACCTGGTAAGCCTCATGATTTGATACAATCCTCTTTATTATTGTGCTAGTTGTAATGTCCAACGGACTCTCAAGTATTTCAAAAATGCCCATGCTTTTTGGAATAGCATATGGGTTTCCCTCTTCCTGTAAAACCAACAACATCATTAACTTCTAAAACATTGTCCATACATGATTATACATTTATAAATCATGGATAACCGTGGTAAACCATGAAACAAACGAGACTGAATTGTACCTTCTGGAAGTCATTGTCCTCTGCTACTGTTCCATGAACAACTAATGAGACATTGAATGTTGTTATCTGGAACAAAATTGAGTAGAAGTTACAATGTCAGATTCATAAAGCTGCAGATAGCATTGAAGTTGCCCCAATTAAGTCATAGGTTAAATGTGTGCTTTAACCAACTTTTAAGGCTATATACTCCTATAAACTTTAAGGCACTTCTTATGAACCAAAAAACATGTTTCTGCTTTGTCACCCACCACTATTCACTGCAATTAAGTCAAAGGTTAAATCTGATGGTTTACCCAACTTTAAAAAGTAGAGGGTACAATTGGTATGACTACATATGCTGAGAGCACTTGTTGAGAATCTAACAATTTCCTTCTCCTTTTTCACCCCTTATCTTTGATTAACTCTCCCACTTTGAAAAAATATACTCCCTCCATCCTGAAATAAATGGCTTGTTTCCCTTATTTCGATGGCCCAAAATAAAAGTCAGTATTCATTCAAGGAAAGAAATGAGTGGTTCACATTATTTCTCTCTCCTCTGCATAAACCTACACCATACAATTTCACTTTTTCTTAAACTATGTCAAAGTCAACTCATGACGCTCAATTAGGGATGGAGGGAGTATATATATAGGCATCACGAGCACAACTATAACTAGAGGTGGGATAGCAATGCCAAGACAGATCAACATGTTTTAGTTTAAAGATTACCATATCTCTCGACACCTCCCTTGGAGCACCTATTATCACTTCATCAACATAACGACATGCTAAAACACTTAAACTTCTCTCATGAAGATTCATTATTGGACGGTGTGCACCTCTGTGGGCACTGCAAAGGACAGCAAAAGGTCATAAGATTGCAACTCATCCATGCATTTACTAGAACCAACATAAATTCATTAGCCACCTTAGAATCCAACTGAAAAAGCTGAGTAAATAAACAAACTTGCATCACTCCAGAAGAATAAACTGTCTTGTAAACTCTAAAAAACCGATGAACTCTTCAAGTACAAAAATAAACCCTGTATGACACCAACTTTGATGGGATCTAAGAGGTCAAGATGTACACAATATTGCCCTTGTAAAAAGAGAGAGCCCATTTTTTATTTGACCATTGTTGCATTGCTGCATAATTCATAAACTAACGAAAACTTCATAGAAAAGAAGAAGAAGAAGTTAAGTGGGTCATTTTGATCAAGTCCACTTCCAAAACTTCATAGATTGTGAGAAGCAAGTGAAGTATACTGTGACATTTTGATTAAGTCCACTCCCAAAACTTCATAGAAATTAAGCAAATGAAGTTTAATGTGTCATTTTGATTTAGTCCACTTTTACCCGAAGCTAACACATTAACGGTAATGCATCTTTTAAATCAATAGCAATGCATGTAGGGAACTCTTTAACACAATATAGTTAATGGCACACAGACTTTTAGGACCTCTTTAAATTTCATTAAGGTATAAAAGAATTCCGTAAAAACTAATATGTTTGTGCCATAATCCATTTCATGTTTTTTAGGATGTCCCCAAATTTAGTTACAATTTCCTTTTTAAGAGAAGAATAGTCTGGTTCATATAATTTTGCCTACTCGGCATAAACCTCAACCACACAGTTTCTACTTTATTAGAGAGTAAGCCTAATCAACACCAGAAGATAATTATGCAACAAAGGGGGCATTAAGAGCCGACTAAAATCAATTAAATTCTGTTTCTTTTTGAAGTTTACAAGAGTCTATGGAACTGTGGATTTAATCCACCACCCCTTGGAAAAACATGAAAGCTGGAAAGTAAAAAGAGCTGGAAAAAAAACTGAACATAGACAAAAAATGGCCTAAGATCTCATAAAAATCAACATTGGTCATAATCACCAGTCCGTGCATGGCATCAAACATGCAAGCTAATCATTCCAAAGTGTAAGGATCACTACTGCATATGCTCGAGGAGAAGTGGTATAATCCTTACCTGGTAAGCCTCATGATTTGATACAATCCTCTTTATTATTGTGCTAGTTGTAATGTCCAACGGACTCTCAAGTATTTCAAAAATGCCCATGCTTTTTGGAATAGCATATGGGTTTCCCTCTTCCTGTAAAACCAACAAAACCATTAACTTCTAAAATATTGTGCAGACATGATTGTCCATTTATAAATCATGGATAACAATGGTAAACCATGAAACAAACAAGTCCAAATGGTACCTTCTGAAAATCATCGTCCTCTGCTACTGTCCCATGAACAACTAACGAGATATTGAATGTCGTTATCTGAAACAAAATTGGGTAAAAGTTAAGATGTCAGATTGATAAAGCTGCAGATAACATTGAAGTTGCCCCAATTAAGTCAAAGGTTTAATGTATGCCTTTACCAACTTTCAAGGCTATATACTTCTATAAACTTTAAGGCACTTCTTATGAATCAAACATGTTTCTGCTTTGTCACCCACCACTATTCACTGCGACTAAGTCAAAGGTTAAATTTGATGGTTTAGTGAACTTTAAAAAGTAGAGGGTACTATTGGTATGACTACATATGGTGATAGCACTTGTTGAGAACCTAACAATTTCCTTCTCCTTTTTCACCCCTTATATTTGATTAACTCTCACTTTGAAAAAATATACTCCCTCCATCCCAAAATAAATGTCTTGTTTCCCTCATTTGGATGGCCCAAAATATATGTCACTATTCATTTAAGGAAAGAAATGAGTGGTACACATGATTTCTCTCCTCTACATAAACCTCCGCCAGACAATTTCACTTTTTTCTTAAACTATGTGAAAGTCAACCCATGAAGTCTAATTAGGGACGGAGGGAGTATATATATAGGCATCACAAGCACAACTATAACTAGAGGTGGTATAGCAATACCAAGACAGATCAACATGTTTTTGTTTAAAGATTACCATATCTTTCGACACCTCCCTTGGAGCACCTATTATCACTTCATTAACATAACGACATGCTAAAACACTTAAACTTCACTCGTGAAGATTCATTATTGGACGGTGTGCACCTCTGTGGGCACTGCAAAGGACAGCAAAAGGCCATAAGTTTGCAGCTCATCCATGCATTTACTAGAACCAACATAAATTCATTAGCCACCCTAGAAACCAACTGAAAAATCTGAGTAAAATAAACAAACTTGCATCACTCCAGAAGAATAGATTGTCTTGTAAACTCTAAAAATTTGATGAACTCTTTAAGTATAAAAATAAACCCAGTATAACACCAACTTTGTTGGAATCTAGGGGATTAAGATGTACACATTATTTCCCTTGTAAAAAGAGAGAGGCTGTTTTTGTTAGACTATTGTTGCATTGCTGCATAAACTAACCAAAACTTCATAAAGAAAGAAGAAAAAGAAGTTAATGTCTCATTTTGATCAAGTCCACTTCCTAACTTCATAGAAATTGAGAAGCAAAGGAAGTATAATGTGACATTTTGATTAAGCCCACTTCCAAAACCTCTAAGAAATTAAGAAGCAAATGAAGTTTAATGTGTCATTTTGACCCAAAGCAAACACATTAACAATAATGCCTCTTTTAACTCAAAAGCAATGCATGTAGGAAACTCTTGAACACAATATAGTTAATGGCATACATAGACTTTTAGGACCTCTTTAAATTTCACAAAGGTATAAAAGAATTCCATTAAAATTAATGTTTGTCCCATAATCCATTTCATGTTTTATAGGGTGTCCCCAAATTTAGTTACAATTTCCTTTTAGGAGAAGAATAGTCTGGTTCATATACTTTTTCCTACTCGGCATAAACCTCAACCACACAGTTCCTACTTTATTAGAGAGTGAGCATAGTCAACACCGGAAGAAAATTATGCAATGGAGGAGGCACTAAAAGTCAATTAAAATCAATTAAATTTTTTTTCTTTAGAAGTTTACAAGAGTCTATGGAACTGTGGATTTAATCCACCACCCCTCAGAAAAACACGAAAGCTAAAAATTACTGCAAGATCATTTCTTAAACATCACCTATGCAAGACATCAAGAGTTATATTTGAAAGAAATCTTAGTAAAATTGGGCTACACAAAAGAGTAGAATATACATTTTCAATTTGCATGTTCAAATCTGCCCCCTTTCATTTTTACTAACAGTGCAATTCATTTATGTATTCTTAACTGCATCTTCAGTCAACATTCAACACCATAGGAATGATAGGACCAATAGAACAACAGAAGAAGAAGAAAAATAAGAAGCCAGAAAATTGCTTTCGCTGCAAGCATTTAGTAATATCTAGAGGACTCAGACAATGAGACAGCATTAAAAAAATTGCATGTGGTTAGATCTTTGGTTGTTTTACACAGTTACTTAGTATAATAGTAACATTTAGCAGCTTCAAAAAAGTTCCAAGAACCCTTTATCATCATTTCTTTATAAATGCGCTTTTTATTCTTTGGGTGGGGTGGGGGTGGGGGTGAGGGTTGGGGTGGGGAGGTAAAGAGAGCCATTACCTTATCTATATTTTTATCACAAAAAATTTATTTTAAATTATTGAAACTTATGAGTTTGTTGAATGGGTTTTGCCTGTGGAAGTCTTGATTGCCGAGTAGTAGTAAGTACATACAGTGTTGAGTACTTCTAACCATTTAACTTCTTGATGTGTTTGTTTAAGGGATCCGAGTTGCTTTTTACAATTAATTTTGGAATATGAGGTATACTAAGACTCTCTTTGGTACACGAAATTTAAACTATAGAATTGGAATTAAGAACAACAATTTCAATTCTGATGTTTAGTAGCACAAAAATATGTAAATTTGAAATTGATAGTGCCAAAAATGAATTGGAATTAGAGAATTCAATTTCATAGTTAAATAGTACGAGGCAAAAATGATAGTTAGAAGTGAAATACACAGCAAAACAGAAGATGATGCCTGAAACTAACTCGTTTAAGAAACTGAAATTTGAAATTTGACAGCAAAGAATATGAAGCACAAGAAAGAAAGTGTCATTTCATACAGATTTCATATAGTGTATGTACGGAGTATATGTTAGCTTTGCCCATTGTTCAGAGTGTTGATGATTCCATTGCTGCCAAAACACATTATAAAAACTGTATAGACGATCATTGCCCCAATGGTTTCTGCAACTTCGCAAAGATAATTTCTCACACACATTCTAGAAACTGTATTGTTCATTGCCTCAATGATTTTTTCAACTTCGCAAAGATAATTTGTCACACACATTCGATACGTAGATTCAGGACTTGCCACCCGGTCACCAGCTGGAGAAGCGAGAGACTCCATATAGGGAAATGCTCTTCTCCAAGCCGCAGATGACGCTTGTCGAGGGAGATCGAGCACTTGGAATGATTGGTCCACGATATTGTAGTGTATAACTTGGGAGACCTCCCCATCTTTGTTCAATATCTGCAACACCAGAACTGTCTCATTTTCCTTGTCTCCGCGGACAAGCAAGAGAATGAACCTAAACCTTTCGTAGCCATCCAAGAGCAGCTCTTCATACTTGCATTGTGAGGATATGAGTTGTTTGAAATTTTGTGGGAACAGATCCAAGACGGAATCGAAACACGACTGGTGCATGAGATTCCATTTCGAGCTGTTCGGGCTGATTTCGTGAATGCACAACACAGAAGAAGAGGAGGTTTCTGTTTCTGTTTCTGTTCCTTCAGTATAAAAAACTTGGACAAGATGCAAGTAACCCCTTGACTCTCCGATGTATTCAACCAAAACATCTTTATGGCTACACGTTTTGGGTATCGGAGGCTTGGCTATACTCCCAAATTCTTCTTCTTCAACACTGAAAAAAGTCCCATTGTCACGGGTAAGCCAGTGGAAAGCACCATTCCAATACACACCCGCCCAATCCTCGGAGGAGAAACATAGGCGAGCACAATCATACCTCCATTCATTACTCTTTGATGAGTAGATATCCAAGTCAACTAATGATCAAACATCATGACGTATAACAATAACTTTATAGTGAGGTGATTCAATGAGGAATCGAATGCCAAGCAAATGGTATTTGGATGCTATAAAATGTTATGGAGGGGAAGTTGAGTGACAAAATTTGTTGTAGGATTTGAAACAAACAAATCATTGCCGAATTTCAATACTACGAGGCCATTGCAAGAGCTTTTAATATCCCCATACCGGATACCTTTCTGGACAGCAACACGATTATTACCAGTGAGTGGAACCGAATAATACAACAACTTAGGGGCCAGATAAGAGGGGTATAAACTGAGGTATATGGAAGGCGGTGATGACTTTGAGGTGGCATAGAGGAAACGAAAATAAGGATCGGAGATGAGAGCAAACCAACGCTTGCATACTAATTTCAATTGCACAAGTGTGGATTCTGGTTGAAGCAACAATATCTTAGTCAGGAGCTCATCATTTGATTCTACCCTTTCTGCACACAATCTCCTATTTGCTGGCGATGGCCTTGTCATTATTGTATCTACATTTTGAGAAATGATGAGAGATTATTAGCAATACGGGATATTTGATTAATTAATCAAAAAAGAAAGAAAGAAAATCACAAAGCTCAAAGAGGATTTTTTGGTTTCTTGACTCCTTCTCAAGCCATGCAAGCATACGGAGCTTTTTTTGTTATAAAAGTAAGGCAATATGTGAGTGGGCAAAATATAAATACACACTAAGAGAGAGAAGGAGGGTTTAGAGAAAGGTGCTACACAAGATATCACCAGGATTGTGTGAGTGAGTGTAGGAAGTAACTGGTTTTAGTTACTCAAAAAAATACACAAGAGGTGTAGGGTGTGAAAAGTCTGTTTATAAGTGTCTGGTATTTAGCGCTTGTAAACAGGGGAGAGTTTTTTGGGTATCGTTCTGAAATAGTGAAGATATAATTTTTCTCTCATTTTTTCTTCTTGTGTAGTGAGTTTATTTATTTTTCACATTCTTGATATTTTAAGAGTCTTACCCGCATAAAATCCCAACAATTGGTATCGGAGCCAAGTTACATTTGGGGCGGAGGGATTTCTAAGCGGTAAGAGAAGAAAGTCGAGAACTTGAAAAATGGCATCGCTAAAAAGTTCGAATGTTTCTGTCGAACCTTTCGATGGACGTGGTGATTTTACTCTGTGGCAACAACGAGTAAAAAGTGTTCTTACTCAGGAAGGGACAATCAAAGCTCTGAAGGTGAAGGTTCAGAAGACAGAAAAAATGACGGATGCTGAGTGGGCCAAACACCGGAAGAACGACAAACCAGAAAAATTGTCGGAAGAAGAGTGGGAGGATTTGAAGGACATGGCAACAAGTACAATATGCCTATGTCTTGCAAATAATACTCTTTGAGAGGTTCTCAGTTTGACAGACCCGGTGGATATTTGGGACAAGCTCGAAAGCCGGTACAAGTCAAAATCGTTGACAAGTAGGCTATACTTGAAGAAACGATTGTTTGGTCTCCAAATGGCGGAGGAAGCTAACTTTAATGGTCATTTGGATGACAAGGCGTTGCTTTTGTTGGTTTCATTGCCTTCATCTTTTGACAACATCGTGACCACGCTCTTGTTTGGAAAAGAGACCTTAAAATTTGATAAAGTAGTTGTTGCGTTGTTGATGAACGAGACTCGGCGGGGTGGCAATGGGGTATCAAATGATGGTCAAGCTTTGGTAGCAAAAGGAGCTGGTCGGGAACGAGGACGGTCTAAAGAGAGGGGCGGCGCATCCCAACGCTTCAAATCGAGTAGTAAAAGCTTTCGGTGTTACTACTGCGATGAAGAGGGTCATTTCAAAAGGGATTGTCCAAAGACGAAGAAGGAAAAGAAGGACGGAAAAACACCCGTGACTGCGGTTGCAGAAAGTTCGAACCAAGAAAGTGAGGAAGACTTATTTTTGGCAACCGCAAAGAGCCTAGGTAAATCAGATTGGATATTAGATTTGGGTTGTTTGTTTCACATGTGTTCAGTTAAGGAAAAGTTTGATACCTATCAAACTTGTGATGGGGGTGCTGTGAAGATGGCAAATGGTGCACGGAGCAAAATTGTTGGGGTCGGAACAGTGCAAGTTCGCATGTTTGATGGCGTGGTGAGAACATTAACTGGAGTGAAACATGTGCCGGGTCTAAAAGGAAATTGGATTTCTTTGGGGGCTTTAGATTCAGAAGGCTGCCGAATTTTTGCTCAAGGTGGAGTGTTAAAAATCTCTAGGGGAGCAATGGTAGTAGCAAAAGGAGTTTTGTCAAATGGCTTGTATAAACTTGTAGGAAAAGATTTGGCACGGAAGCTATCAGAAGGAAAAATTACATGTGCAACAAGCGGAGCATTTGCATGGAAGAAGCGGGTGACGTTTGAAGCTTCTCAGGTTGGTGGAGACTGTGACCTTGCCGGAACGAGCGAGGTGGAGCCGGACCATGGTTTGATTAATTAATCAAGGTGGAGTTTGTTGGGATATTTGATTAATTAATCAAAAAAGAAAGAAAAAAAATCACAAAGAGGACAAAGAAGATCAAAAGTGGGATATTTGATTGACTTGGTGCATGTCATCAAATCAAAGAGGATTTTTTGGTTTCTTGACTCCTTCTCAAGCCATGCAAGCATACGGAGCTTTTTTTTGTTATAAAAGTAAGGCAATATGTGAGTGGGCAAAATATAAATACACACTAAGAGAGAGAAGGAGGGTTTAGAGAAAGGTGCTACACAAGATATCACCAGGATTGTGTGAGTGAGTGTAGGGAGTAACTGGTTTTAGTTACTCAAAAAAAATACACAAGAGGTGTAGGGTGTGAAAAGTCTGTTTATAAGTGTCTGGTATTTAGCGCTTGTATACAGGGGAGAGTTTTTTGTGTATCGTTCTGAAATAGTGAAGATATAATTTTTCTCTCTAATTTTCTTCTTGTGTAGTGAGTTTATTTATTTTTCACGTTCTTGATATTTTAAGAGTCTTACGCGCATAAAATCCCAACATACACCCATCCATAAATGTACATATACTATTGCTTCATTCTAAAGACTGCTTAAACAATATTTGAAACCTTATACATTTAATTTGAGTATGTTGCCGAATAAATTTAATGTTAAATTTATTTCTCTCTCTCTCTCTCTCACACACACAGTGTTCCAATCAACTCATATACATAAAATTTAGTTGATCCAACATAGATTGCTTATATAGTATTTGAAAACTTATACATCTAATTTGAGTATGTTGCCGAATAAATCTAATGTTAAATTTATTTCAGACACACAGATACACACACACACACACAGTGTTCCAATCAACTTATATACGTAAAATTTAGTTGATCCAACATATAAAACAGAGAATATAGCTATAATGTATTTCAACAAAAAAAATGATTTCATTGAAAACTTTTAAAATTGTATTTTTTTGAAGGGTTCAAAATTGTATTTTATTATGCAAATATGTCATACAAATAGAGAGAGTAATAGAATGGAAAAAGTCAAACTGGAGAAGAATATGATCATCAATTGGTTAGAACACTAAATGAGTATAAAGGAGACGATCTATCAATCAATCTAACTAGCTTTTATTCTCGATCAATTTGGGAGCTTCAGATTTGTCCTGTAACTAACCCCCAAATCAAATTAAGCATCAGTAATGTATTTAAAATGTATAGTTAAGAATATGAAACAAAGGGGAAGTTGGAGGGAGACAATAATAACAAGGCATGGGGTGCACAGAAAGAATTAATTACTTGCCGGCGGCGGCGGCTTCTTCAGCCAGCCCTCGACGGCCGGCCAAAGTTCGCGGCGGCGTGTTTCAGCTATCGACTTCGGCGTCTCCTGGGATTGATTGATTGATTGGAATATGCCGATTATATATATGGTCTTCTCAAACCGAGTTCGGTTAGAGCTGGACTTCCTCCTGGAGCACGTTGATAGAACTCCAATTGAGGAAGGATTTGTTTTGGTTTGTTGCTCACTCCTCGCTCTTATTTCTTTTTTTATGAGAGAGATAGAAGTCATAGAACTAGGCCGCCATTTGGTCATACCGAACTATACTTTGGATTTGGCATCAGTATGGGGGTACGATTCAAAAATCTCATACCGAACTAAAAATATTTGGTACGGTACCAGTAGAACCAAATACCGTACGTACCGGCAGTCGATAGATATGTCATGTCAAAATGCAAAAAAAACAAAATAGAATTCAAGACTGAGGCCAATTTTAAAGAAACGAAACAACCCGTAGGAACCTTGATATAGTGTAATGTTTGAGCCCATTTTGGAAGGATGCATATATTCTTTTTTTTAAATTTGTATTTTCAAGCATGTAATATTTCTGATGTTAATCTATACGGATTACTCCTTCTGCCCAGAATCGTCTGTTGACTTAGCACGCTTATAGAGGGAGAGAGTGTGAGAGTTTGCCTAAATAAAGCATACCCTTTGGAGAAGAACAAAAGGATTTAGCTAGATATATTATAACTTTTAGCAAGCTAAAATGTCAGCCATGGATGGAGATGCTCTGAGTAACACCAATAGTGGCAAAGGTTGGACGTTTGTGTTTGACCATTAATATGTTTACAACACTATGCGAGTGCGTACGTTTATAGATGCCATTAAGTAGAGTACAAAAAAGAGAAACATTGATTAAATTTCGAGGATTGAACAGGGTCGTTGTTTTAATAGTGATAAAAATAATTACTCCATATAAACCAAGTATGATGATGAGATGTAAATTCTCTATAGGTGAGACAAGGATTTATTTATATGAATTTGTATATCCGGGTATGTGGTGATGGCAATTTTACTACCTCCGTCTCAAAATTAAATAGTCTTGAATAGCTAAAATGTTAAAGAAAAAAAATGAGATGCCTAAAGCTACATCTTAAAATAAATTCATTTATATAAAATTTATATTATAGTTACATCTATACATTTTGCAAATCTGGAACAATAATTCTTGGGCGGGTATATTATTTTCGGCCAATACCCAATAGAATCAAAAGTTGGTTATATTTTGAGCAATTTCATACTCCATATTGTTGTCAAAAAAAAAAATACTCCATATTTTGTAGTGATAATTGGTTATATTTTGACCAGTTCCATATTTCGTAAGGAGTGGCATGTACAATCAAAAATTAAAAAAAACTCAGTACGTCTTGATCCCTAATAAAAATTTAAAAAAAAAATTTCTCAAAAAAAGAAGAAAGAAGAAGAGGGGCATGTACAAACAAAAACTGAGAAAATTTTAGGTTTTATCTCATTCTAAAAGGAGGCAAGTCACACAAAATATGGAAAATTTTAACTTGAGTTTAAAATTTAAAATAAAACAAAAACATACTAGATTCTGAAGCTTAAAGAATGATGTTTAGATTTCAAATGAAGCTCTAATTTTAATTAGAAGATTCTAAGAAGTGGAGCATTTACTTCAATGTCTAATATTTAGAAAATGTTATCCAAAGGTTGCTATTCAGTTGAGCATTTTCAGATGCAATCTACGCTATTAAAAATTATCCAAAACGCTATCATCGGTGTTTTAAGCAAATCATAGTTGGATTCTGCTTTTTTTTTAATAATAGGGATCAAGGGGAAGCCTAGCAGTCTAGCACACATAACCTTAAGACGCAAAGAAGAATGATAGCTAAGAGCTTGTTTTCTTATTGAAATCAGATCAGACCAAATCAGGTTAAAAACAACTTTAAATATAACTACAATTGGATCGAATCAGACTAGATCAAAACTTACTCCAATCAAATCGGAACCAATCGGATCAGGTGATGTGAAATGCTACTTCAATCGGAAAAACAGATGCATTTCAATAAATGTAAAAAAACTCATTCATATTTATGAATAGATGGTACTGGTGATGAATTGAGTGCAAAAAATTCTAGGATAAAGCAACTATGGATTTTTTCTTCATCAACCCAAAATTTCCTTATAATTCAGAGTTGGTGACATGGGTACATACTATGGAATAAACAAAGAGAGAAAAGTATCTAAAGAGGGAGGCACATATACCAGAACCCTGAAATAAACAATAAAGCAAACATGCTTCAACAGAGATATGGCTGACACTAACTGCATCGTATGGTGTCGCCTGCCAGAAACCAAATACAAAGGAACCAACTATAAAAGAAAACAATGCAAGGTGGGGCAGTAAATGTGAAGAATTAATATCACAAAAGACAGAGTTACCTATTCAAAATCAGCTAATCACTAATGTATGTCTTTCCCTCATAATACTTCTTCTCACTTTCTGCCTTCTTCTCATTCCTCTTCTGAATCAAAGAAACAAAACTTATTAATATCACCTGCCTACATAACAAACAATTGTCTCAAAATATTGCTGCATCCTTAATCCGGTGACCAAATCACAAAAAGAAAAGCTGATTGTATGCCTGCCCTAAAGCCCCCCCTAACTTTTAGGTTTTGCTGAGAAATGGTTAAATTATGAATGTAAAAAATTTAACCAGGCCTCAATGTGATCTCTTACATGCATTGTTATTTGCTATGTTCTTGTGGTGCGATTACATTGCTGGGGTGAAGCACGTTTAGCTTGACTTTTGTTGCATTTCTATCTTTTCGTTACATAACTTGTGTCTTTTTAAACACATCTTCATTGAAAATATTTATATAAAAAAATTTATATATCTACAGGCTACAGCGCGCCACAGTTTTTTTATATAAATAACCTACTATTATGTACTCCCTCCGTCCCGAAATAGATTACAATATTCTCTCACATTTTTGTCCCAAAAAGAATTACAAAGTCAATAACTTTACAAGGAATTGACTCTTTTACCCTTCCACTCCTACACTATTCACACACTATTCATCCATGTGAGTGGGCCACTTGGGGGGTAATTTGGGAAAAAAAATTGATTTGACTCTTCCTTAATTTCAACAAAAAGGGAATATTGTAATCTAAAGTGGGACGGAGGGAGTATCTTTTTTCACATTTGTTTTCGCCCACAGCATTTGTAACTAACCTCACCATCACAACTTATTTCACACTTTGTTATTTCGAACTCATAAAAATCAACATCGATGATAATAACCAGTCCGTGCATGGCATCAAACATGCAAGCTAATCATTCCAAAGTTTAAGGATCACTACTGCATATGCTTGAGGAAATGAGGAGAAGTGGTATAATCCTTACCTGGTAAGCCTCATGATTCGATACGATCCTCTTTATTATTGTGCTAGTTGTAATGTCCAACGGACTCTCAAGTATTTCAAAAATGCCCATGCTTTTTGGAATAGCATATGGGTTTCCCTCCTCCTGTAAAACCAACAACATCATTAACTTCTAAAATATTTTCCAGACATGAATGTCCATTTATAATCATGGATAACCGTGGTAAACCATGAAACAAACAAGTCCAAATGGTACCTTCTGAAAATCATTGTCCTCTGCTACTGTCCCATGAACAACTAACGAGATATTGAATGTTGTTATCTGGAACAAAATTGGGTAAAAGTTAAGATGTCATATTCATAAAGATGCAGATAACATTGAAGTTGCCCCAATTAAGTCAAAGGTTAAATGTATGCTCTAACCAACTTTCAAGGCTATATACTCCTATAAACTTTAAGGCACTTCTTATGAATCAAACAACATGTTTCTGCTTTGTCACCCACCACTATTCACTGCAACTGAGTCAAAGGTTAAATCTGATGGTTTAGCCAACTTTAAAAAGTAGAAGGTACAATTGTATGACTACATATGCTGGTAGCACTTGTTGAGAATCTAACAATTTCCTTCTCCTTTTTCACCCCTTATATTTGATAAACTCTCCCAATTGAAAAAATATACTCCCTCCATCCCAAAATAAATGCCTTGTTTCCCTCATTTGGATGGCCCAAAATATATGTCATAATTCATTTAAGGAAAGAAATGAGTGGTACACATTATTTCGCTCCTCTACATAAACCTCCACCATACAATTTCACTTTTTCTTAAGCTATGTAAAAGTCAACCCATGACGCTTAATTAGAGACGGAGGGATTATATATATAGGCATCACAAGCACAACTATAACTAGAGGTGGGATAGCAATACCAAGAAAGATCAACATGTTTTAGTTTAAAGATTACCATATCTTTCGACACCTCCCTTGGAGCACCTATTATCACTTCATCAACATAACGACATGCTAAAACACTTAAACTTCTCTCATGAAGATTCATTATCGGACGGTGTGCACCTCTGTGAGCACTGCAAAGGACAGCAAAAGGCCATAAATTTGCAGCTCATCCATGCATTTACTAGAACCAACATAAACTCATTAGCCTCCTAGAATCCAACTGAAAAAGTTGAGTAAAATAAACAAACTTGCATCACTCCAAAAGAATAGCCTGTCTTGTAAACTCTAAAAATTTGATGAACTCTTTAGGTACAAAAATAAACACAGTAGAACACCAACTTTGATGGGATCTAGGGGGTTAAGGTGTACACAATATTGCCCTTGTAAAAAGAGAGAGGCTGTTTTTGTTAGACCATTCTTGCATTGCTGCATAAACTAACCAAAACTTCATAAAAAAGAAGAAAAAGAAGTTAATGTGTAATTTTGATCAAGTCCACTTCCAAACTTCATAGAAATTGAGAAGCAAATGAAGTATAATGTGACATTTTGATTAAGTCCATTTCCAAAACTTCATGGAAATTAAGAAGCAAATGATGTTTAACGTGTCATTTGGATTTAGTCCACTTTTACCCAAAGCTAACACATTAACAGTAATGCCTCTTTTAAATCAAAAGCAATGCATGTAGGGAACTCTTGAACACAATATAGTTAATGACATACATAGACTTTTAGGACCTCTTTAAATTTCACATAGGTATAAAAGAATTCCATTAAAATTAATATCTGTCCCATAATCCATTTCATGCTTTTTAGGGTGTCCCCAAATTTAGTTACAACTTCCTTTAAGGAGAAGAATAGTGTGGTTCATATAATTTTTCCTACTCGGCATAAACCTCAACCACACAGTTCCTTCTTTATTAGAGAGTGAGCCTAGTCAACACCAGAAGAAAATTATGCAACGGAGGGGGCATTAAAAGTCAATTAAAATCAATTATATTTTTTTTCTTTAGAAGTTTACAAGAGTCTATGGAACTGTGGATTTAATCCACCACCCCTCAGAGAAACACGAAAGCTAAAAAATACTGCAAGATCATTTCTTAAACATCACCTATGCAAGACAGCAAGAGTTATATTTGAAAGAAATCTGAGTAAAATTGGGCTACACAAAAGAGTAGAATATACATTTTCAATTTGCATGTTCAAATGTGCCCCCTTTCATTTTGACTAACAGTGCAGTTCATTTATGTATTCTTAACTGCATCATCAGTCAACATTCAACACCATATGAGTGATAGGAGCAATAGAACAACAGAAGAAGAACAAAAATGAGAAGCCAGAAAATTGCTTTCTCTACAAGCATTTAGTAATCTCTAGAGGACTCGGACAATGAGACAACATTAAAAAAATGCATGTGGTTATATCTTTGGTTGTTTTACACAGTTACTCAGTATAATAGTAACATTAAGCAGCTTCAAAAATGTTCCAAGAATCCTTTATCATCATCTCTTTACAAATGTGCTTTTTATTCTTTGGGTGGGGCGGGGTGGGGTTAGCGAGGTAAAGAGAGCTGAATCTGGGTCTTATTCTAGAGAACGGCATACCTTTCAATCAAGTTACACCTTGAATGTTACAGATTAACGTCATTGCCTTTGCAAAAGTCATATTCACATTCGAAACCATCTTTTAAAATTAGGGCAAGAACCAGGATGTGTTATTATTTCAACTCCTGTGCCTCCATTTTAGTTTATCAACTTTGTGGCTACTCTCAGTAACAATGACAACATGAGTAGCAGCCCTAGTTTTTCAGTCTCAATCTGTTTTCCTTTGCATTTTTTTCATATATATAGCCAATTTTTTGAAATTATGTGTACATATATAGACAAACAAAATTATAATCCACATTGTTGTACTAATTCATTTTGAATAGTTCTATAATGATGATGAATGGTGCTCACGGTCAAAGACACTATGCAAAGCAATGTATATTTGAATGGTTACCTAACAGTTTGATCAGTATGAATGCCAACAAGGAGGAAGTCACCGCGGTCCCGTGCAACTCTTAAGATCTGCAATCCATAGTTAAGTAATGAATACATCTGAGCTTTCATGTAACAACTAGAAATGTCAGATATGGACATTAATGTGGTACTCCACCGTCCCAAGAAGATGTGCTCGTTTTGACTAGAAACAGTTTTTAACTATTATAAACTGTGTGGATGTAATCGGCCCGGTTCCATGGCCACTGGAATCCAGTGGAAACCACTGCCCCCTACGAAACTCCGTTCATAAAATTGATGATTCCTACCCCCCCTAACCCCCCCGGTAAACCCCCCCGCCAAGTCCCGACCCAAACTCATCACCCCACCTACGTCAATTGCACCCCGTAAGCATAATTACGGGGTGCAATTGACGTAGGTGGGGTGATGAGTTTGGGTCGGGACTTGGCGGGGGGGTTTACCGGGGGGGTAGGAATTATCAATTTTATGAACGGAGTTTCGTAGGGGGCAGTGGCTTCCGTGGCCACTGGATTCCAGTGGCCATGGAACCGGGCCGGGTTGTAATATATGCATAGAAGAGAGAAACTGTGAGTCACATATAACTTTCTGAATAATAGATACGGAATGTTTTTGGGACGGACCAAAAAGCAAAAAACAAAACAAAACAAAAAAGGGCAAGCGTTTTTTAGAGAAAGGGAGTAACTCTACTGTGTGAGATGGGGAAAGCAACATTAAGTTTAAGCTACAATAGAAAATATGTGGCATATGATAATCATGCTAGAGGAAACTGTGATCCAAAACACAATATATGAATTATCACACACCTCCACGTGTCCTGCATGAAAAAGATCAAATGCACCGTCAATGTAAACTATGCGAGCATCTGGTCCAGGTCCCTATATTGAAACTCCAGAAGATATCAAGCATCAAGAGGTTTTTCACGATGTACCATAGTACTCTTTTCAGTGTATGTTATCAATTAAAATCAATAGAAGGCAGTGACTAGTAAATTTACATGGCGAGTAGAGAAGGATAAAAATGATTCACTAATTCATTCAAAGTCGTGCCAGTGAAACAAATCAGGTGTTTTGGCACATATGGATGAAGAGGTACAGAATTAGAAAACATTTCTACTTTAAAACTTAAAAGTGACCATTAAGATATATGCATGTAAGAAACTGTGTTTATTGATTCTGCACTACATACTAAATATAACTACGTATACGGTAGGAAAGAAATGGTGAAACACACCTTCCCATTGGAGAATTGCACTATTCTACGAGAAGTGGGAAGAAACTGAGATATCCCAGTAGCACCGCCTTCAGATTTTTGGTTGTGGCCATGGCTGAATTGACGTTGCAAGGATGAATTTTTAGGGGTATCGCGAGTGGACCTCTCTCTCATGCAAAGAAGCATTCGGCCTACTCACATAGGCAGTATTTTAGAGTTAGATATGCAGAAACATAAAGCTCTTGTAATTATAAACCCAAGTGCAAATTAAATGCGATTTAAGATGTTTGAGTAGGCTAATAATGTGGATAATGAATATTAATATAGACAACACCACAGCATATGACAATACCATCCTGGCCAACAACAACATCAACAACAAATGAGGTCACACTGTACACAACTTCACCTATGATTATGCATTTACTTCCCAAAACTTCATGGAAAGTAAGCGAGGGAGTTTTAATACATCACTTTCATATAGTCCATCATTTTCCCAAAGCTAAAATATTATCAAAACGACGTGAATAGCTCCAATGACAATGGATTCCAACAATACCCTTCTAACCATCAAGCTCAAGTTTTGGAACTTATTAGTCCCTTTTTTTTCTTTCTATTGACAGGGAGATAAGGATGCCCATGGAAAAAGATCTAGAGGGAGCATAAATAATTACCAACAATGTCAGTGCTTGAGACTCCTTCCGTGCGCTTGATCTGTTTGTACCGTCCTACCTTCTTGGCAAGTGCATAAGCATCAGTACCATCAGGAAGAAGGCATGGATCATCACCATGAATGATGTAATCTATATTGTACTCATTGAAAAGTTTCTTCATAAAATCTTCTGTGATAGCATATGGTGCGTCAGAGATAACTTGATCTACCCACTTTACACCATTAACCATTATCATCCTACAAAATATACAAGCAAGAGAGATACTTTTGAAATGTGTTGAGGGATCTGATAGAAGAACAAGAAATGCCACATCCACAACACCGTTGTTAAAACATCCTAACCCCGACTAGAATTATGAGGGTTATTTTGAGTGGTTCATCACAATAAGGAGCTAAGATGTATAGAAGAATGAGATTGCAAGTTCCCCAATTTTTAATGCCTCAAATTCCTCCAGACATCTCTCAATGGAATTAGCATTAATTACATCTTCGAGCAAGGAAATCAAAGTGTCAGACAGGAACTTAATCAAATTAAAGGTAGTATGTTGCATAGCATCCATCTAAACTTTTCGTTCCAGGCTTTGAGGAGTGGATTCAAAATAAGGATAGAACAAATCGGGGGGAAACGTGGAAATGCAATGAAACAAACCTCTCGTTAAGAGGAGTGACAGGAGGGCCTTTATTGGCGATGATTTCAGCATCGCTGACAACGCCAACGATCAATTGGTCGCCTAGGGCGCGAGCCTGACGGAGGGCATTGCAGTGGCCGTAATGCATCATGTCGAAGCATCCGTCCATGTACACCCTAATCGGGCCCCTCTTCTTCTTCTTGCTCCGCCCGGCCTCCGCCCGAGCGAGGCGGAAGCCGATGACGGACAGTCCCAGCACCGCACCGCCGATGAGCAAGGTGGCCAGAACTCTAAACGTGTGGTGTGCGCTGTCGGGGTGACTCTGCCCTGAACCCATCGCGATTCCTCCTCGGCCAATCACTGCGCGTCGTCGCCGCCGCCGTCGTCCGATTATTGCGCCCCGGCTCTTAGCTGCAATGCTTCTCAGTCATCCCGATCTCATGAATGGGGGGAGGGAGGAGAAAGAAGAAGAAAGCCTGTAAACACGCCCACACGCTACTATTTTTCCTTGGCTCCACAGCTGCCACCCAATGACAAGCATGCCATATTCCTTCACAAATACCTTTTTTTTTCAAGTAAAAATTACCTAAAATAATCTCAATTTTACCCGGTCTTTTAAAAATAATCCAACATTTCACTGTTATGCATAATAATCCCAACTTTATTGAAATTCGCCAGTTTTGGGTCGTCGTTAAGTTTCTAACAGGGGTTTAACAGAAATGCCCGTTTTAGGCAACAAAATGAAAGTTGGGATTATTTTTGATGAATTTTTGTTTTTTTAATTTTTTTTGAAATTTTTATTTAAAATTTTTGAATTACTTTCAACCTCAATTTCTTTTTCTTTTTTTAAAGATTATTCTTACCTTAGAAAAAAATAGATATAAAAAATAATAAAAATGAGATAAATAACTAAAACCATACAAAATTAATCAAATAAATAATGTAATCAATAGAAATTAAACAAAAAATAGTAAGAAATAAAATAAATATATACGGAGTGGTGGGTTTTAACATTTTACACACTATACGGAGTCTTAATGTACTACTTCTTCCGTCCCAGAGTATTTGTCCACTTTCATTTTTACACACCATCCAATACACTTCTTTAATCCATTTTATCTTGTAATTTGTATATTAAATAATTATAGAATATATATATATATTAATAATCTATATGCTAAGACAAATCAAACAAAATCACACATGACTATATTTAGGCTTACACATTGAGAGATTTTGATGAGTCAAAGTGCTTAGATGAACAGTTTCTAAAGTCAAAAGTAGACGAATATAGCGGGACGGAGGGAGTACTTATTTTTTAAAAGAACAAGCCGTCCGGTAAAGTTGTAATTATTTTAGATATTTTTTTCTAAAAAATAAGAAGTGATATGTTAATACTTTGTATAATGCGTAAAATATTAAAACCACCCGTATATTTTTATTTTACTTTTACCAATTTCAAGTTAGTTTCCATTGATTACCTTATTTGTTTTATTATTTTTGTATCATTTTAGTTACATTTTTCATTTTTTCATTTTTTATATCTATTATTTTTATGTTTTAAACTAAGACTAATCTTTAAAAAAGTAAAAAGAAATGACGATGGAGGTAGAAAGTAATTTAAAAAATTTAAATGAAAAATTTTAAAAAAATAAAAAAAATGAAAAATCATCAAAAATAATCCGAACTTTCATTTTGTTGCCTAAAATGGGCATTTCCGTTAACCCTCCGTTAGAAACTTAATGGCGACCCAAAACTAACAAATTTCAGTAAAGTTGGGATTATTATGCATCACAGTGAAAAGTGTGATTATTTTTGAAAGACCGAGTAAAGTTGGGATTATTTTGGGTAATTTTTTCCTTTTTCAAAGTTAAAGTAAATTAATTAAGTCAATTGTGATAATGTAAATTAATAAAACAAAATTCATCCGTAATTATATTATACATCCGGTTGTATGTACCTAATTTAGGGTATAACAAAAAAATTATTTATGGTATGGATTTTATTTAACATGAAAATGAATACTAAGTTATTTAGAAATCAACCTAAATAGGACTAAAACATAGAGAAAAGTACCAGAATAGGACTTTGCACTGTGGTAATGTGATTTTGCATTGAGGTAATGTGTCAGTGTACATGTGCAAATTATTATACTTTTTTGGTAATGTATATGACCATGTTTGGTAATGTAAGTTCTATTTCGGGAATAAAAACATTGAAGTCCTATTTTGGTATATTTTTCAATGTTTTAGTCCTACTTTGGTCTTTCTCCCTAAGTTATTTGATAATGATTACTGATTTGTTTCAAAATGAACACTACATTATTTGTAGATGAATATTATGATTATATTGAACCAATGTGTGAAAAATGAGTACTGCCTTATTTTAGAATGAATACCACGTTAATTATATTTGTGTGAAATGAATACTACTCTACTTCAGAATGAGTACTGCCCGGATGTACCGTACATCCGATTGTACCATATACCTTCTCTATGGTAACTCCTCTTGAATTAATTGTCTCATTACAAATAACAAAATTTAAATGAATACTTTTCAGCCTAATTTAAATGGTACTAAAATATACTCCGTAGTAATATTCCAAATATAATATCATATCTTTTAGTACTATTTACTTATTGCAAATTTCAGTTAAGAGAACTATATCAAAATTCTTAGAAAACAAATGGATACATACTCTAATGGTTATATTAATTTAACAAGTGATTAAAAATTACGTAAAGAGATAAAAAAAAAATATTTTGACTAACGATTAATTTGAAACCACTGAAGTATCTTTTAAAAAAATACTCCGTAAAAAAAGAAAAACGTATACCACCTCCTTTTAAAGATTAATTATCATTTACTATTGTAGAAGTCAAACTTTATTCACTTTGTTTATTTATTTTGTACTTTGTTTATTTATTTTTCCTATTCATTTCATAATATAAAATAGTAATGCCGCCTTTTTTAAAAAAGTTTTATGTCGTTCTTTTATATAAGCTTTATTTTTTAATTTTACATCTACAATTAAATAAGTTGAAGAGAAAAAAATATCGATCCATCCTCGTAATTGAATAATGATTAATTTTCTTGATTCAATAATGGGATAATTATATTACTCCCTCCGTCCCACTTTAGATTACAATATTTCCTTTTTGCTGAAATTAAGGAAGAGTCAAATCAAATTTTTTTCTCCAAATTACCCCCAAATCCCCCAAGTATCCTTCCCACTCACATGGATGAATAGTGTGTGAATAGTGTAGGAGTGGGAGGGTAAAAGAGTCAATTCCTTGTAAAGTTATTGACTTTGTAATTCTTTTTGGGACAAAAATGTGAGAGAATTTTGTAATCTATTTCGGGACGGAGGGAGTACAACAATATATACTAGGTTCCTGCTCCTAAATAAGGTAGGATTATATAAAAGGAATAATATACAAGAAAGGTAACTACCAAGAATATTAGTACAATATTAAAAATTAAATATATACATATCTTTTACATGCTCCCGGCTACGTCAGTTATGGGGTGGTCTGATGCCAAGGTTGACTTTGAAGTCGGTGAAGAGGAGAAATGAGTCCTTTTGTGAAGATAACATATTTTGAGGACGAAGGAACATGAAGGACTATGCCCTGACTGATCGAGAGCCACGTTGTCACGAACAAAGTGGATGTCAACCTCAACATAATTGGTGTATTGGTGTTGAACAGGATTGTAAGAGAGGTAAATAACACTCACATTGTCGCAAAAAAAAACTAATGTAGTGCATTGAAGGGGTTGTTGAAGCTCAAAGAAGAGGTTTCTAATCCAACTAGTCTCGGCAACAGCATTTGCCACGGCGTGATATTCTACCTCTGCACTCGAGCGGGACGTTGTTGCCTGTCGTTTAGAAGACCAGGATACTAGATTATCTCTGATAAACACATAATAACCAGAAGTGGATCGTCGGGTGTTAGGACACCTAGCCCAATCGGCATCAGAATATACTTGCAAGTAGTCAGTGGCAGAACGGGTCAGGCGGATGCCATGAGTGGCGGTCCCACTAAGGTACCACAACACACCTTTCATGGTCGTAAGGGGGGCATCGTGTGGCGCGTGAAGATGGGGGAAAAGCTGCTAGACTGCATAAGTAATATCGAGCCTAGTAAAAGTAAGATATTGCAAAGCACTAAAATAAACTTAGAGAGAGTAGAATCACCGGCTGGCTTGTTAGAGGATGGCGAGAGCCTGGCCTTGGTGTCCAATGGGGTGGAGATGGGGCATCATGAGACCATTTTAGCTCATTCAAGAATGTCATGAGTGAACTAATTTTGATGAAGAAAAAGCCCATCGGTGGTCAGGTGCACATTTATGTCGAGAAAGAAGTAAAGATCCTCTATATTAAACATGGCAAAGTTGCCATTGGGTTGCTGAGTAAGCTATTGGAGGAGTGCTGAAGAAGAAGTAGTGAAGACAAGGTCATCAACACAATGGAGAAAATAGGCTATGTCTGCTCCATGTGAAAAAACAAAGAGGGACGTATCAGACTTTCAACCAGATAAACCCATAGTCTGAATAAAACTGGCAAACCGGTGGTACCACGAGCGGGGTGCTTGCTTAAGGCCATATAAGGTCTTTTTGAGTTTGCAGACATAATGCAGCCTTGTAGGATCCTGAAACCCGGATGGCTGACTGGTATAAATAGTTTATGTGAGGGTGCCAGGGAGGAATGTGTTTTTGACATCCCTTAATAAAGCAACACTGAGAACAATTCGGAAGGTCGAGGGTTTGATGACTAGACTAAAAGTCTCGTTGTAGTCAACGCCAAATCGCTGATTGAAACCCAAACCACCCATTGAGATCTGTACCTGGTTAGCTCACCTGAGGGCCCAAGTTTGTGTTTGAAAAGCCATTTGGCGGTGATAATATTTTGTGTGGGGGAGGGGGTACTAATTCCCATGTCTCATTATTAATCAATTCATTAAATTCATCACACCTAGCAACATGCAATTAAGATTTGTGAGAGCACTACGGTAATTTGGGTGTAAAGGGGTGATGTGGGCAGAGGTGTTGAGATTACAGGTTTGTTTAGGGAGAGGGATATCGACATTGGAGTGAATAAGCATGTGGTGTTGGTTTGAGGTGGGAGGGGGTTGTACAGGTTGGGCGGGTATAGTAGGGGGGCTGGTTGTGTGGGTTGGGTGGGTGCGGGTTGGGCCAAGAGGGGGGCTGGGCCAAGGCCCGAACCGGAGGGGGGAGGGGCGGGTGAGGCTGGGTAGATGGGAGATGGGCCGAGGGTGAGCGAAGAAGGGTTGGTGGTTTTCCTCCGTAGGGTCAAGAAAGGTGAGATCAGTTGGGGAGGTTGTATGAGCATAGGAAAAAGTGGGTTCATCAAAGGTGACATGGCGGGAGACAATAATTTTATTAGTTTGGAGGTCAAGAAAATGGTACCCTCACTGGTGGGATGGATAACCAATGAAAATACATCAAGCTAAGCGTGGAGGTTGTTTGTGAGGTGTGGTGGCAGAGATGTTCGGGTAGTAGAGACAGACAAAGACTTAGGGGCTGTTTGTTTCAGCCTCTTAATGGTTTAGATGTCTGAATGGTTCAGCACTTAATGGTTCAGACTGTTTGTTTCAGCTTCTTAATGGTTCAGATGTCTGAATGGTTAATAGATTTGCCTCTGAATGGTTAAGTATTATACAGAGTCTGAATGGTTCAGACCTCTTATCTGAATTGATCAGACATTTGCCTTTGAATAGTTAAGCAATATACTAGCTCTTAATGGTTCAGACCTCTTACTGGTTCAGCACTTAATGGTTCATACCTCTTACTGGTTCAGCACTTACTTATTCAGAAGTTGCCAAATAGCCCCTTAGAGGTGAGAGTAGCTAGGTGGAGAGTCGCAGAGGATGGAATGAGGTGTTCGGTTTTGGATAGTGCCTCAACCCAGAAATCATGATGTAGTTGGGCTTGAAAGAGGAGAGAGCGAATGGAGTTATTTAGAATACGGATGGTATTCTCCGTCCAACCATTTTGTTTGCTGGTATAAGGACAAGAAAAATGAAAGAGAATACCCAAAGGGGCAAAAATAGATTTAAGTGGTGAATTACGAAATTTAATGCCATTGTCACATTGAACAACTTTAATTGTAGTATTAAAATTGTTTATAACATAAGCCACAAAAAGAAATTAGGTGATTAAATTAAATGCATCATATTTGTATTTTAACGGAAAATCTCAAAGATAATGAGAAAAGTCATCGAGAAGAAACATATAAAATTTAAAGCGAATAACACTAGGAACAGGAGATTGTCATAAGTCTGTATGTAAAAGTTGAAATAGAAGTGATAGAACATAAGAGACATGACTAGAGTGATGAAATGGGAGACACACATGTTTTCCCAATTGACATGCATGACATAAGTATTTTGATAACTTTTAAATAAAGGAGAAAGGCTTGAGACACCACAGAGAACTACATGGCTTGGGTGGCCTAATTGGTGGTGCCAAATTTGAAGATCGACGCTGGTGATGTTGGCGTGGGCTGGAGCTGGGTGGTGCAGAGGATAGAGTGAGCTTGCATTATTAGATTGATGTATTACGTTCCCGTTCAACGTCCTTCACAGAATAACCATGAGCATCAAATTCAACAAAGCAATTGTTATCGCGAGTAAACTGTTGAACTAATATGAGATTATGAATAATATGAAAGGAGATAAGGACATTATGGAGGGAGAGGGAGAGGGAAGGTATTCACAAACGACACATCAAAAGCGGTCTTTGGAATTTTGTATTATAAGAAAGATATATTATCATTATGAAATTATATGTTTATCCCTCAAATTTAAACTAACATGATGGAAAATCAAAAAATGACTATTTATGGAAAGATACTCATAAAAGATCAACGAGGTAATATCTGACAATAGAAGACTAAATAAGGAAATCTCTTCTTATAAAGGACCAATTATAAAATTACTCTAAAAAATATGAAGCTCATATTTTAATAATTTTTCTATATTTTACATTTAAGTTGTGTTTGGTTGTGGGTAAAATATTTTCTTTGAAGAATATTTTCCAAAGAAAAATAATTCCGAGGAAAATTAATTTTCAATCATATAATTCATTGTTTGATAGGAAAACATTTTTCTTTCACTGATGTCACAAAACATATGAAATTGGAATCAAAATTTTCTTGAAAAATATTTTACGCCTAACCAAAGACACCATCAGTTTAATTTGTTTCAAGATATATTATGGACAAAGGACTGAAGGTTATTTTTCACATTTTTTAAGGTTTAGCACTCAAACTTAAATTTGTGAACAAAAATCACACAATATAGACTAAAGAGGGTGAATTCTCTGTTTGTGTAAAAACGGTGTTATTCATTCCTTTATATGCAATTCAGAAATACATTTTCTCTAAAAATGACAACCGAATTTGGCTACTCCGTTTTGGTGATGTTTATTTCCCAAACGGATTAGTCTAATCTGTTTCACTCATTTAATTACGAAACGGATTAGGCTAATCCGTTTCACTATTTTTTTAACAATTTCTTAATGTGCGGGCATCACCTTCATTTATTGCTTAATTTGTTTTTTTTCTTCAAACCTTTTTTAGTTATTTTAACTATACTTTTATAAACTTTTTTAACAAATTAACTTCACTTTTATAAACTTTTTTTAAACTTTTTTAACTTTATTTTATAAGAAAAATGGTATTATAAAATTTTTAAATTTTTAGTTATGAATGAAATCAATTTACTTTTGTTGCTTTTAAATTATTTACTCCCTCCGTCCCGGAGTATTCGTCCAGTTTTGACTTTTGAAACTGTTCATCTAAGCACTTTGACTCTTCAAATTCTCTCAATGTGTAAGCCTAAATATAGTCATGTGTGATCTTGTTTGATTTGTCGTAACATATAGATTATTAATACATAATTTCTATAATTTTTTAATATACAAATTACAAGATAAAATGGATTAAAAAAGTGTATTGGATGGTGTGTAAAAATGAAAGTGGACAAATACTATGAGACGGAGATAGTATAAGAAACTAAATTAACTACAAAATAAAGGAAACATACATAAAGAAGATGTAATTTAATAATTTTATTATTAGAGTGCACATAATAATTTATTCATAAAAAGAAGAAGCCAAAAACACAAACCATGACAAACTTATTTGGAAAATCTAATAATCCATAAACTCAGACATAATTGAACTTAATGACACAGCTATTACTCGTTACGATGTCTCTGTGGTCGATAGTCCATATTATTCTGATAGTGGGTTCTCGTACGTCGGCCGGTTCGTGTGGTCTGTCGTGGCGTTGGCCTCAGGATCTCGTACTCTGGAGTAGGCCATTCGGATTCATCTGGTAGCGGCATAATGATGCAAGAGTAAGCGTTGATGTAAGACTGAATTGAAAAAACATTTGGAATCAAAGGGTCCACGGTAACACTACAGTAATGACATACTGCGTGGACATGATTGCATGGGAGGTGAAATGTAACCCATTTAGCATAACTACATGTTCGTGCATTTAAGTTCACCGTAAATGTCTCCCGCTGCGCAATGTAGGACGACCCATCCACCACCACAGAGTATATCCCTATTTGTGCGTGGTGCTGCACAACACGACAATACAACCTATTTTCTTCATTTTTCCTAATATGTTTCCAAACATTCATAGGAAAATTGTACCCGGATTGCTGCCATACATATCCATAACGTGCCCCACCTTCATCATGTGACAAAGCCCACTTTTGTTTTGGAATGACATTAAGCCAGTTGTAGGCTTCTTGATTTTTGGATGCTATTTGGAGTAGCAACTGGTCAAAATCACTTCTGTTCGGGCCTCACTAGCTTTGTACATCAAGGTCCGCAGCTTCTTACTTCGGAAAGGGGAAATAATTAGTAATAGGGAGGGGTTAGTTGGAAAGGGAAATAATTGGTTAGGTGGGAGTGGGAAAAAATATTTAATTGAGATGCGAAATAAATATTTAGGTGGGAGTGAGAAAGGGTAGTTATATTTTATTTAATGATAAAGAAAATTATCAAAGAAAATTATGAACAAAAATATTTTAATGATAAAGAAAAATATTTTATTTTTCAATTTTATAATTTATTTATAAGTAAGAAAATTATTTGAACAAAAAAGGGAAGGTGATTTAAAATGATAAAGAAATTAAAAAAAAGTAAACGGATTAGCCAAAAAAAATTGGTCAACTCATTAGCCAATCTAGTTGGAAAACTATCCAAAATAAAATAAAAAATAGTGAAACGGATTTGCCAACTCCGTTTGGCAATTAAATGAAGCAAACAGATTAGACTACTCCGTTTTATTTAAAATTTCCGAGTAGAAACGGAGTAGCTAAATAAGTCTTGCATGTCTGACTTACACTTTTCCTCGATTAAAGATTTACTGAGTACGGAGTATTTCTTTCCTATCACTTCTTCTCCCGATTCCAATTTTTAGTTTAGTTTCCAAAAATCTCTCACCGGCTGACTTTCCGGCCAAATTCAACATTCCACTGCGGCTGCCGGATGAAGTTCTAAGTAGCGCCGGCGACCGTTCAAGGAAGATCAGCACTTTTACAGCACTAAGAAAATGGCGTCTACGGACGGACTTGTGCCGATAACCAGGACTTTTCTGGCTTCTTATTATGACAAATATCCGTTTTCGCCTCTCTCCGACGATGTATCTCTTCTTTGCGATGAAATCCGATCCATGGTGCGTGATCTGCAGCAGGACCCTCCCTTGAGTGAGGGTATGAATGATCATTTGATTGATTTTCTGCAATTTTACTTGAGCGGATCTCTCTGCAATTTGTTGATATTACTGTCGGTTGTTAAATTTCCTTTCGAGCTGTTGTGCTACATCAATCATTTTTCATGTCGATTGAAAATGGAGTCTATGAAGGACTTTGATTAAGATATTCGATAGTTTTCAGAAGTTAGCTTTTTTGTTGTTGTTGCCATTTGGACTAGCCATATATAAGTGGCCATGATAGAGTATAGTGTTACTTAGCATAACTACCGGATGTGGGAATAGATAGGATAGTAGTGACTAGTGAGTTTGGTGTAATGTAGTGTGGTGAAGGAATGTATCCCAGAGGGTGGATTTCCCATTTGTCCCATATACACTCACAGCTCTTTCTTTTTACAACTAAAGACTGTCTTTTTAGCATAAAAAGGCTATTTCTTTTTATGGGTAAGAGTCTATAAATTGACAAATAGGATATCCCCGACACCAATTGTTTAATGATGTCTCAGATCTCAGTCCAGATGGACCCTCCCCGGGCTAATCCTGACATCCCAATCAATGAATCACGCTTCATAGTTAGCTGTTATTGTCAAACTCAATTCGACCAAAGGGTGATAGATGTAGTCATGTAGCCCCTATGTGCATTCATTCGAACTCTGTGTATGGACAGTGTACATCTTTTCCCTATGGAGTTCAATATGATATCCTCTTTTTCTCATTCAATTAAACGAGAAAAATGCTCTTTAGGTTTGCTTCTATTAGTTTTTCTGGTATTTCATGCCTGATTCATGGCCTCTCTTGTTTTTACATTATGCTTCTTCTTCATGGAATGCCTCTTCCTGCAGTCTCACTATGCTTATCTTATTGAAGGATCAGTACTAAAAGAAAATGTCATGCCTGGATTCCTGATAGATCAGGAGTGTAATGAAGTGCTTCTGAACCGTCCCCTCATCGGCTTTTTTAACTGATTTTTATTTGACATTTCTTCATTTACGTTTGTTTTATGGAAAGATAAATGTTTTAAATATTCATTATTTGATTATATGTTGTAGTTATAAATGTATGGAGACTCATCATTTGGTGGTGATGTTTTGATAGGAGAAAGTGCATTGCTTCGAGAAGCAGAAAGTATCCCACCTCACAAAATAGATGAGAACATGTGGAAAAATCGAGAACATATTGAAGAAATTCTTTTCTTGTTGGAAAGATCACATACAATGGTGTGAGAAACACAACTTTCATATCTTATGTTTCAATTTTATTAACCACATCTCAAGCTCTTTGCTAACGGAGCTCAAAGAATCACTTTTTATGATGTTTTAGCTGCGAGTCAATCATGGACTATATCAAAATGGCAAAAAAATCCTTTGTTTCATACTTTCCATGAAGTTTTGTACAGTAAATGCATCAATGCATCAAGGGTGTGACAAAAACAGCCTCTCTGTTTTTTACGGGAGTAAGGTTGCTTACATCTTGAATTATTGACCCCTGAACTCCAATGGAGTAGGGATCATACTAGGTTTGTTGTTGTTGTTGTTGTGTTCTATTAATCACATCTCATCTCAAGTTGTTTTGTTAAATACTGATATTCTTTATTATTGTACATTTATAGAACTAAGAACACTACTAGAAATTAATGCATCAGTTGTAGTGATCACTGGCCTTTCTTAACAGTTGAGTAACAATAATAGAATTCTCCACTTTTATATTTCAGCTTCAGCAAGAATTAACATCTCAGAACACTGAACTTGGTGGTGTCCTCTCACGATTAAAACAAAAACTAGAAAATACATTGAAACTATTGGAAACTTTCCAAGCCAGGAATTCCGAACATGTATTCAACACAGGTTAGTCGTTTGATCATTTGGCGTAATTCAAATATTTGTGGAACTGAGTGTATGGTGTGTGTATATCTCGTAGTACATGTATAAAGTGTGTATATAGTGGTCAATATGCTATTTTGTTTTGATTTAGCCTATGGTGTGTAAATTGCTTATCAATTTATCCCTCTGTCCCACTATGTTTGACCCTTTTTTTTCATTTTGGTCCATACCATATTTGGAAATATTTATGTGGATCAAATAATCCTTCACAAACTCAATATCAACACAACACAATTCCACATTTCTGTCCCACTATGTTTGTCCCATATTACCATTCTGGTCTGTTACTAAATTTTTAACTCATACCATATTTATGTAGTTCAAATTCTTCCATATGTTTTCCATACTTAGCATATTTGGTATCAACCACACAAGTCCACTTTTCTCAATTTGCATTCCACATGACTCTCTTAAAATCATTGGGACAAAGTGGGAAAGAAAGAAAATCTTCCAAGCAAGTTATTCATGCAACTTAGCATTGAAGGCACCAAAAAGCAACGTGCATTTGAGGTTAATTTGGGCAATTATGCTGGTTTTATCTGCAGTTATGACTTACCTGCCTCAAGACTTCCGTGGTACATTAATTAGACAACAGAAAGAGCGCTCTGAGAGAAATAAGCAGGCCGCAGTTGATGCTTTAATTATTTCTGGCGGAAGTATACGTGAACGATATGCTTTGTTATGGAAGCAACAGATGGACCGGTAAAAATTGCTATCATATATTGGCATTCTTTTTGCAGCTCATGTGATCTGGTCTAACTGCTGATGGAATTCTTTTTTTATAGACGGACACAATTAGCTCAGCTTGGTTCTGCAACAGGTGTTTATAAGACATTGGTGAAGTACTTGGTAGGAGTGCCGCAAGTATGTCAAATCTACTGAATAGAGCCTAGGTCTTGATTTATAATTCTGTTCCAAATTATACATCTTGATTTCCTTATATACGACCTGCTGTTTTTCATGAAACAATATTTTTCCTTACTGCAATTCATTTTGTTATGGATGTGTCAAGGGACATTAGTCTGAATTATCTGGCACTATTTTCAATTATTTTGTGCTTGAAGATTGTCATGCTATGCATGTTTGGCCTGCTAATGTTGTTGATTTTCCATTCTCTATTCCCTAAGATCTACAACCTTTTGAACTAGAGGTATTTACTTTAACATATCATTCATATACAGGTGTTGTTGGATTTTGTTCGGCGGATAAATGATGATGAAGGGTATACATTTTGCCTAAATTTTAGTTAGCATTTACATATTTATTTATTGATTTTTTTAATATTCAATCTCTTTGTTTCATATGCAATTGTTACCACTCACCAGTCTTAGTAGCATTTCTTCTGCCCCTTGATGTTGTATTTAAATAACAGGCCCATGGAAGAGCAACGAAGTCGTTATGGCCCACCTTTGTACAGCCTTACTAAAATGGTGCTTCACATACGACTTCTTCTATCTTTACTATGGAGCCGCTTTGAAGCAGGACAACTGTGAGATTTGCTAAGACTGCTTAGTTTCTTAAATTTTAATTTGATTGTAGTGTAACACGCAGTAAGAATATCTGATTCTAATGCTAATGAATTATGATGTGATTGTGATTTGTGATGTGTTCCCTAAGTACTTGCATTCGCATTTTTTGAGCAGACAAGGGGATAAAATATCTATTCTTGAAAAGGCAGTAGATGTCTATACATCTGAATTTGAAAGGTTCATCAAATTCATCGGGTAATTTCATATGGAATTTTATGTTTTAATGGATTTAATGCTTTATGTATCCTTTCCTGTTTCATTTGCCTAATGTTCCATTTTTTAATTTTCCATCTCTAAATATGTTTAAGAACCACCATTTTTTGTCAAATTCATCTTTGAGTTCAAAAAATAGGAAACGTTAGCATGAGCACCAAATTATCACTGTTTCACTAACCACCCAAGTGTTATCTACTGCTGCCATAAAGTACTCCCTCTGTCCCGAAAGTTTCTTTTTTTGACTGGGCACTCTTATTAAGCAAATGTAAATAACAATATCAACCACATACATCTTTCATTAGAAGGAAACAAGAAGAATATTTTAGGACAAACCAAAAAAGTAAAAATTCACTTATTTTTTGGCTTTGGGGTGTGTAATGGAATAAAGCAAAATAGATCTTTAAACTGTTTGCACTTCTTTAATAAATGAAGTAGTAGCTAGTCAATCAATCAACTTTCGACGCTGAGTCGGGAGTCTCTTTGGAAACAGCCTCTCTACTTTCGAGTAGGGGTAAGGTCCGCCTACACACACCCTCCCCAGACCCTACTCTTGTTGTTGAGGGGGGGAGTGTTATCTTTTTTCTTTAGAAATTACAAATATGTTTTCTGGCTGTGGTGGCTGGCTAAGAGGTGAACACTTGTTTTCACTTTATCTTTGGTAAACACACAAAAAAAGTTGTCATCTAAATTGGGAAGAAAATATTTATACCAGAGAAAGTGTTCCATTTACAGAAGTTGAAAAACAGGAGAAGCAAACATGCTTTTCCTATCCTTCCATCATTAAAGAGCTTGGCGTTACATACGTCCATCTTAATTTTTTTACTTTGGCAAATGGGAACATACCTATCTGTTTTTTAGGAACCTTCCAGTTTATTTTTCTCTCCATTTATGCTTATTTAGATTTACGTCCATTTTTCAGTGAAGTGTTTACAAATTCTCCATTTTTTATTAATGCTGAGGACTCTGGGGTATCAGAAGCCAGGTGTGTTTACTTTTCCCTTTATATTTATCCTCTGAACGGTTAAAACTTTAAATATTGGAATAAATGTTGAGTCTAGGAATTTTCATGTTTGGTATTGAAAATTAACTGATGCCTGTTGGTTAAATGCTTATTGGTGACAGTAAAAATGACGAGTACCAGGAAATAAGTGTTCCAGCAGGCAAAACTCATGAGGTTAGCTTCATTTTTTTTCATTCTTTAGTTTAAAAAAAAAGTTGTCTGATTGATGAATGTTACTCTGGTGCATTACTTTCATTTTGCTGGATTGCATATTACATCCTTTGTCTTTGTTTGGAGATAGAAAAGGCTGATTTATAGCCTCTACAACTGGATTAATATTTTCAGGTCTCATTGAAGGTTGAGGATATAAATTCCTATATCGCTTGGGATTTCTCTTTGGTTCAAGGGAGAATGAATCTGGTACCATCATAACAACCTGAAATTTGTTTTCTCTCCTTTCATTCACCATCCTTTGATCGTTTAATGTGTGGTGGTCGAGGTATCTACTTACACCACACCCATACAGGTGTGACCCTTCCCTGAACCTTCACTAAGTGCGAATGCTTTGTGCACCGTGCTGCGCTTTATTCTATAAAAACAACCAAGCACAATTATCACAGTGATGTTCTCAATTTATTACTCCGTATTTATCTAGGCTTCATTTTTTTCAACAGGATGTTGGTTTTAGTATGGAGTGCGAAGATACTTCTGGACAGAAAAGGGTATCCACAACTAGTACCTTACTTTTCCTGTTTCATCATCAGAATAATTTCTTTGAAAAAAAATTTTTGACATCAAATTTGCTAATGGTTTTTTTCCTGGTATTTTTGTGTCCTTGCTGTACAGCCAATCTTACCTTACAGACGCTATCAATCTGACCAAGTAAGTTTTGCAAAGCATGAAACTATAATTTTTTTTGTTTGGGATTGGGGATGAGGGCCATAATTTTGTGTTCTCACAACTCTTAATTTTTTTATGACCAAACACAATGCTTTTATTATTTTAGGGTAACTTCTGCACATGCATGGCTGGAAATTACAAACTCATATGGGACAACTCTTATTCGTCGTTTTTCAGCAAGGTACCTCAAGTCTATTGCATTTAATCCCTCCAAACTTGCGTGATCTTGATGAAGCTTTATGAACAGGAACTTGTAGGGGTGTTACTTGGTAATGGCGTATTGGTTGTCTTCTGTTCACTTTTTTGGAAAAAACAGATACAAGAACTGTAGTATAACTTTGAAAATTATGGGAACATGAAAGCCGTACTGTCAATTTTTTCCCTATATAACATAGTANTGGCTTGTTGGAGGGAAGGTTTGAAAGTTACCTTGTATGGAAAATGTTGGCTCCCCGCCCCCTCTTCCCCAATTTTTTTGAACAAAATGAGGGTAATGGAGCATTTTCTCTCCCCTCCTACTAGGCACACCTTGTTTTCAGTTTTTTTTTTTTACACAAAAACAAGAACGGAAGAACCAAAACAAAAATTATGAAAATATTCGGAACCTGAAGTTCAAAATTGCGTTGGTTTTGAAAACACATTTCCTACTCACAAAAATACTAGTGTCCGAGTAGGTCTTAAGTCGAGGGTCTTTCAGAAGCGGCCACCCTGAGCCTGCCTATAAGTAGGGGTAAAGTCTGGGTACACCCACCTTCCCCGTGTCCCACTCGTGGGACCTTACAGAGCTATTGTTGTAGTAAGGGAAATAGGCTCAGTCTAAGCATGATAAAGATATTGGCAGTGGTCAAGAACAAGGCAGGGGACTTAGAATATATGGACAATTCTCACTCTCTTACTTTTTTTTCTGTGTTTCTGTGTGGGGGGTAGGTGGTGCGTTACAAGGTGGACTGCATTCCTCCGGTTGCAGAGCCGCTTGCTTTGCCATGATCTCACAATCACGAGCAAAGTAGAAAAAAGGACGACAGCTGGATGATCTCTCGTGTGAATTTTGTTATTTACAGAGTGAATGAAACTACATATATGTAAAAACTTTACGAGTGTATCGTTTCGTATGTCTGCAAATATTTGTGGTTAATTTTATTCTTCTTCAGAAGCCATCAATTTTTTTTTAATTTATCATTTGATCCATTTTTGGCTGCCTTTTTAGAAGTGTGTGTTCGTGAATAGTGGAAGTGAGACACTTGCTGCCTATTAATATATCCCCTCTCTTAAAGTATAGTGTTCCTTGGTTGACGATGTACCCAAAGTATTTTAGTTCTTATCAAATTATTACTCCCTCCGCCTTAATTTATATTGTTTGTTTTGGTTTACGACGTTTGACTGATTTTTTTCCCAAACCATTTTATATGAAAATGGTATAGAATTAAAAAATAAAAATTACATACTAAAATACTACATTAAAAGATCTACAAAATTAGTGGTGATATAACTATTTTATTTTATCAAATGACTAGTGAATGAAGTTTAATTCTGTGAATAGTAAACATGTACGGAGTAATTTAATTTGGGACAGAGGGAGTAGCAGAAATAGGTTAACATAAGTTGGTAAAGTTAAATCATATAAAATGAGTAGACAAATTAAATTGAGATGAATGGATTGAATGGTGCTGGTGGATACCCTTTTCTGTCTAGAAGTATCTACTGATGGATTTGGTTTGATGTTTATGCAATTATAACTTTGGGTTTCACTTCAAGTGATTTTTTAGAGTGAATTTAACTTTGGGTTTCACTTCAAGTGATTTTTTAGAGTGAATTTTGTGTGGTTAAAATTTATCGGGATGAGAGTATTTAACACAAAATTCTCTCCATTTGAGCATTTGCCCATGACAGTTAGATCTTATGATGAACATTTTAATCACAATCAGAATGCTCATTGCAATATATCCATGAATAGAGAATATTACTTTCGTTCTAATGTATTTGTTCAGTTTGATTTTTTCAAGTCAAACTAGACAAATTTTGATCTTTAATTACTTTCAATTTATATTGCATATTAGAATAATAAGATAAAATTTTAAAAGTTTTCATCAAGATAAATCCAATAAAATCATTTTCATACTAATATACATTATAATTTATGTTTAATTAAAGTTCAATATTCATTCTATTTGACTCAAAATAATCAAACTAGACAAATATACTCCCTCCGTTCCAAATTATTTCCAACATTTGCTTTTTCAGCAGTTGTGGGAACTTTTGTTTAGTTCTACGTTTTCATTGGTTATTTGATGAAATAAAATATTCTTGACACCTCTTATTTCGAAGAACTTTTCATGTAGTTTTTTGATATGTAAATTTTATTTTTTATTTTTATACCAATATGTAAATAAAATGATTTGAAAAAACTTGATATTTTGCCTCGGGAATACAAGTGTGGCAAATATTTAGGGACGGAGTAAGTATTAAGTATATTAAGACAGAGAGTATTCATTTGCAAGTGTTTCACCAACCACTAGCATTGGTAAACTCGGACAACAGTTCTATTTTCCATTCCATTTTCCTATAAAAGCGGGACAATATCTGCTTCTCAAACCGAGTGAAACTATGAAAGGTTGGTAGGATCTGAACCTTTTTTTAAAATTAATAATACTCCATAAAGAAGAAAAAAAAGACATCTGTAGGAATTGAAAAAGAATCACCAAGGGCTAACACGAAATTTCACACAGAAAAGAGCAGGGGGGGATCACTAAATATACGAATTAAACACACTTGCTGAGTAAAAAAAAAAGAATTACCAAGGGCTTACAGTAAAATTGCATGCTGTGTTAATTCTTGCTCTATTGAAATTTCCCACAAAAAAAACAAAAACAAAAACAAAAACAAAACAAATTGGATTTTTAGCTCTGGTATCTCACCCACCCTGTGAATAAACATGAGATTCTCTCCCTTCAAAGAAAACCCCATGCCTTTTGCTTGCTTCTGGTGATTAGTTTCGTGCACTTTCCTTCTCGGCCGAATGCTTTCCATAATCATTCATCAAGCGAAGAAGCTTCCGGGCCTCGTCTATAGGGGCATTGCCAAGAGGTTTAAAAAAAACACACTATCTTCTCTTTATTAACCAAACAATTGAAACGCCAAACTCGTCAGGCTATGTATATATGTAATGCCTCTTGAGCTTGGGAGAGGATGTGTATGTGGGATCCCAACCATACATGTTTCACTATCAGCGGGCCGAGAACGCGTGTAGTCTCTAACTAGAACTCAGTTCACATTGCAGTCTCTTAACAATTGGTTTTCCTTGTTCAGAAACTTGCTCCAAAAATCTTTGTACTCGCGGATGCAGAGGTCGAGCCATGGTTTCATGTTCCCGTTGAAATGCAAAACCCCTGCGCTGTTTATGGTTTCTGCGTTGAGACCGTATTTGTGCCCCAGCCCTGACAAAACCCACTTCTCATCAAGGCCGTATATCTCATCTTGAAAGGTGAGCAATGTGGCACGCAAACTTAGCCCCTCCTCTCTACTTAATTGCTGGAAAATAAAAAAACAAAAGTTTGTCAGCTTTCGCACAAGGTATGTTTGGATCTTGGGAAAAGCTATGGAACGAGGAAAACTGACTCTTAGAGGAAAACACAAGTATTATATGATGAGCATTTTAGAGCTTGATTGGGGACAGCAGTGATATGGTTAAATGACATGAAACTTTGTATTGGAGATAATTTTTTTCATTAAAAGAGAAGCCAATTATTCACTTGAGCTAAAAAGGCTTGCGTTGTTTATTTCGTCCACAAGAAAAACATGGTTACATTCTCTGGAAGTAATCAGTAGGGTCACTATTTAGATGAAATCCTTTGTGTTAGTTAGCAATGAATAAAAATTTTGTTTTCTGGTTAATGTAAAAACAAGAGGATTAACAATAAAAGTTTTAAGAGTTCTTTGGTCATAGCAAACATTTTATAGGGTTTAATCTAAAGGAACATATGGAAACTGACCTCTTGCATAAGTCGTTGGAACTTCCCCGAAAGGTCTTGCTCCCTCCACCTGACTAGATCAATGATATTTAATCCTGACATCCAAGCACAAGACCTTTCATCCAAAATCTTGTCAGCCAAAAAATTCTTCAGTTCAACCAGTCTAATTGAACAAAACTGTACAGCGCCATTCACCTTCCCACCCAAATTAATGCTCCACAAGTCTGTCAAGTCTCTTTGTACAATAATGTCATCATCCAAAACCACTACTTTCTTCAAAGAATAAAAGATCTTCGGAAGAAGATAGTGAGAATGTGTGAACACAGATAAGTACTCTGTTCTCATTTGAGTTGTGGATGATTTATCAGCTTTGGGAAGGAAAATACGGTATTCCTCAGGCAGCAAGAATTGTGTTAGAAATGTCTTATTATCATCCTCCAAATTAAGGTCCTCAATATTCAGAACTTGAACTGATGCTTCATTATATTTGTTTTGTAAAAACCACAGTTTCATGGCAAAGTAATTCTCCCTGTCTGTCAACACATGAAATACTTGATTCTCACTTTCCTGCATATTATAGATGTAGACATATACACAAAGGAAACACCCATCAATTGGTGAATAGCACAATAATAATAATAATAATAATAATAATAATAATAATAATAATAATAATAATAATAATAGAAAAATGACAAGAGATCGTAACAATACTTTAGCATGCAAAACTGTTGAGTTCACTACAGCAGAAGATGCTAGTACATTTTTGGAGAATATAACATAATGATGCAAATCTGGATTCAAAAATCTCTCGGCCAGTGACTGATCTTCAATGAGTGGAGAAGATCTAAAATAGTCCACAGTTAGTCGCATTGACAGACAATGGAAGCTCTTTGGCATTGTTTGGACTGCCAGTTGGTACAGGAAAGCACTCTGTTTCGCATGGAAATTAGCTTCATCCTCTGTCAGATCAACTAGTTGTCTAAATTTCTTGTCAACATTACCACATTCCACAGGGCAACCTTTTGCTTTTGCAATTACAGCTTCCATTTTACTTAGCTTGTTTTCAATCCTGGTAGATTACACAAAAGCAGACTAAGTAACATGATAAAGTACTAGTTAAAAATTGAGAAAAATTATAACATCTAACCATTATTGCACAAACGACCAATAAGTAAAATGTTCTGAAACATGGGCTTTCATTCCACCAAATGCAGAATTATATCTCAAAAAATGCTAAACATAGAACGAGAGAACGAAAACATCACATTCATAGAACATTTAAGGTTAGTACTATACTGCTGTAAGAAGATATAATCTCTAGCACTAGAAACGACAAACTTGCACAGAGCAAGACAATATAAACTCAAACAAGAGCAGCCATAATTAAACAGATCTAACAAAAACATGCATAACATATAAGGGCAGAAAACTGAAGAAATACAAATATAACTAACTAGATCTGAAGCTTAAGTTGAGATCCGGTTATGGAGGAGAGGAGTGTGCACACTTTCAATTTCATCATGGGTTGCATCTAACATAACGAAAAAATAACATAGGACAGAGAGTACCAATGTATTAATAGACAACAACAAGCTTCTAAAGAGTAAAATGAAGGATGCAGCAAAATAAAACAACCCAGTTGAATCCCACAAAAGTAGGGTCTGTGAAGGTGTGTGTACGCAGTCCCTTCCCTTACTCGAAAGTAGGACTGTTTCCAAAGAGACCCCCGGCTCAAGCACCACAAATCGTCACGTACGCAGCATGACCACTGTGTTTAAAACATAGAGTGGCTATTTGCGGATGACCCATGATGAGCATCGAAAGTTGCATTGACTAATTGCCACTTCACTATTAAAAGAAGCACAAACCGTTTAAAGAGTCATTCTGCTTTCTTCCATCATACCCCAAAGCCAAAAATAATGAATCTTTGGCTCCATTGGAGATGATGGGAAAATGCAGCATAATCTCCATTATATTTAATATCAGGATAAAAATATATTTGGAATGTAATTCTGGTTTCATCATGGTGACTATCAGAAAAAAAGCATGTATCCTTGAAAAACAAAAACTGAAAATAATGAAAAAAAATCTTTATCAACAGTACTTTCATCAAGCATGCATGCAAAGTCCTGAATATTTTCTTCATGTGAGACAAACATATGGAAGACATTCTTCATTACAGTGAATATCAGAAATATACACATAGAGGTTAGAGAAAAATTGAACATACATTGAGGGAAGATCCTTATCAACAGTGGTCTCACTGAGCACACGCTCAAAATCTTGAATGTTTTGCTTCATTTCAAGTGATAACTTGTCCTGAGCTGGAAGCTTTGCGATACTAGGATAATAAGCCCGAGCAACAAATAATAAATCCTTCATCTTTCTCACAATGAAATCATTTACTTTTTCCTTATTCTTTTGACGCCATAAGCAGTAGCTCCCATATTTTAATTCACAAAATTTTATACCCTCCTCAGTATCGGTCAGCTTGTCATCCATAGTTTCAACATTGTTGCTCTGAGTAAAAAAAATTCATGATTTAACAATTCCAATTCCTACTTGCATATAATGAAAAATAGACACTGAGAACAATTCAAGAAATACATACACCTCCTTTCGGATGTTCTTTAGGCATGGCAATTGACAGAGGAGGCCCTATGAACAAAATCAAATTAATTCTGAAAGATGGAATAAACAGAGACAAGAAGGAAAGAAGAATAGTCCAATCCAAAATGTTATGTGAGCAGACACGAGACTGGAAAAAAGCTAGAGAATAGCAAATTGGATCGCAGTTGGTATATTCAAACACACACAGCACAAAGAGACTAATACAGCTAAACATGGCGCATGTATCCTACCAATAGTCGTATTGTTCTCAGCTTCTTTCACAATGCTCTTCTGAAAATCCTGGGAACATGTAATGTTAAGATTAATCCCAGAAATAAACATTGAGCCTAAAAACATGAATAGTCATAAAAGCACGAACATAGTTATGCTCCCAGTTCCATTTCTCATTAATGGATTGACCAAATGATGGATTGAGTAGTCAATTATAGGATTGACAAATTGACCAAATGATGTATTGAGTAGTCAATGTCAAATATAATCTCAATAAGGTTGAACACTATGTAAGCATTTAGTGACGATCATAAATTTGTAATTGTATGTAAAAACAACATTATTCCATAGTTGATATACAAGAATAAACAATGGAAACGGATCTTGTATCATTCCAATGCAAGGCAAGTCTAGGTTCTATAATCTAAACCACCAGCAGTAGATCTTTCCTGGCCTAATTTTATTTTTCTTTACATCACTGTATCAGCATGCGGATAATAGATAAGCAAATGAGCTACTTCATAAATTGAATACAGATAACCCTTAGAAAACAAAAGATTAAGCATAAATGTTATGAGCAATAAACCTTATGGAAAGTAGGTTCCAATCTTCTTATAACATCATCTATATGACTAGATTGCTTGCCCTGAAACAATGCACATAGACCATGAGATTCATAGCACTAGATCTCTTCACACAAATTCTTAAGTTTTTTATGTGCCAAAAAAGGAAGCTGTGTGAATCAATGTATTTAGTTATTTACAGTTTTATCACTACACATAACATTTCACTTTCCCTCGCCTTTTTTATGCAAATCAACGGGTTATGAATGTATTGCCAAATGTACTTGCCTCTGATTGGTTCCTAGGTATATCAGCTTCATGTTGAGCAGAAACATCAACCATTTTCTGGCCAGATCAGGAATTCCAGAAAATAAAAAGTAGTATAAGAATGAATAACTAGATATGAAGGAAAAAATGGAACAACGTCATAATACATTAAGAAATGTCATAATACTACTCACAGTAAATGCACTTTGTTTTTCAGTAACATATCCTGCAAATCAAATAGCAAGCATGTTAGGGGATATTTCCAACAGCAAATCCTAAGCTGGAAGCATAAAATTATCCTTCCTTTTTTTAATTTTCTTTCTCTTTTTCCATTGAGAAGAAATTGAAATGTGATTTATTAAAATTATTAGAGTGGATAATCATCAATCGTGTCTGGAAGGAACTGCTGGACATAGTGCAATCAGCGTTTCCCCCGCTTCATTCATGTTTATAAAAGTGCTTCACCTTACACCGGTCAAACCAAAAGAAACTAAACACTTCGGAAACGTCATAAGAAACAATTTACGGCCAAAATGGATTTGGTCGGGACCCAAATGAAATCGGATTTCAATGACAAAAAAAACTGCAGATCTAGAAGAAGGATGGAGGAAAAAACTTGCCAGGGGAAGTGTGGAAGCCATTGTGTAATCCGAGCAAAAAGATGAGAGGCACGAGCATGGAAAGGAACACGAGACAGAGAACAGCAATCACCAGAAAATTCCACCGCCTCTTCCCGGGCGGAACAGAGTAAGGCTGACCGGCGCCTCCTCCACCACCGCTCTTCATCTCCTCCTCCTCCTCCTCCTCCTCCTAGCCGCACTCGTTTCAACCACCGTATCGCCGTTCCTCCCCTGAACACCTTGAAATAACCTTCAGAGCCAAATCTGACGGGCATTGAAGGAGGAGACCAGCCACGAATCCCGCCGGGAACTCGATCTCTTCCACCTGATGCGGATTCAGCAGTTGGCGGCGTCGCCGTCGTCGAGTGGAATCACACACGCCATGTAATGCGCCAACTGGGAGATGGCGACTAGCGAGAGGGAAGGAACCGTGACGCCAGAACCTGGATCTTCATACTATTAAGGGCTCCTTTGAATTTTTAATTGGTTACTGTAATTCTCAGAATTTGATTTACGGAGTAACAATTTAACTAAAATAAGTTTTGTTTCATTGTTTGCAGTTAAAAAGTTAGGAGGCCGGTTCTAGAGCCACTGGAATTCTGTGGCTACGAAAGTCACTGTCCCTCTACAGAATTCCGTTAATGAAATTGATGATTTCTACCCCTCTAACCCTCCGGTAAACTCCCCGCCAAGTCTCGATCCAAACAACTCCCCACATCTACGTCAATTGCACCTCGCAAGTATAAAATCAAAATTTTTGACTTTAAAGTCAATTATACTTGCGAGGTGCAATTGACGTAGGTGAGGGGAGTAGTTTGAGTCGAGACTTGGCGGGGGTTAGGGGATAGGAATCATCAATTTCATGAACGAAGCTCCGTATGGGGGCAGTGGCTTCCGTAGCCACTGGTTTCCAGTGGCTCTAGAACCGGTCTCAAAAGTTATATGCGTGTATAGTGGTTTATAAGTACCTAAATAATCTTTAAATTAAATTTTTAAAAGTTATAAAATAGTCCCGGTCAAACAATCATGACATAAGTAAATAATTATAATAGAAAATAAAAAAAGTTTGAAAATATCAGAATAAAAGTTATATGTCTTTTAAGACCAAAATAGGAATATAATAGCAGTGTTGTGTAAGATTACGCATTGGCAGTGTGATAGAAAAGTGATGCCAGTGTGATCAGTCAACCGTCGGTTATCTGTAATGGCACTCTGGTGGCCGGCGGCAACGAGTCGCAGTGTGGCGGTGATAGTTTGGCAGTTACAATGTGACAATGTAACATTGACATTGTAAACTCCTATTTTGGTCTTAAAAGTCACGTGACTCATATTTTGGTATTTCCATAGTTTTTACTCCTTTATAGGGAGTTCTCCAGTAAAAAATTTGTAAAATGTATACGACATGATTATATATGCAAAGATGTCAATCATATAACGGTAAAAGAAAACTAATCTAAAATTTCAGTTGTGATGTGTAACTTTGAACCATATTACAGTATCTTTCATCTTTTAGTTTAACTCTTACAACGAATTCTTCATCTCTTCAATAGTAATTTTTTTGAATCGTAATACATAATCCTGTGTTTCAAATAGAATAATTTTAAAGTAATACCGTGTGAGAAAAGAACTAAAAAAAGATCATTCCTTGCTTTTAACCACGAAGACAGAGCAATTTCATGAGATTATATAACATCTTTTTTTATTGCGTGTCTCACATTTTTACACAATATGCTTGTGTTCTATGTGCTTTATGTTTCCTTAAAGAAGAAACTAATTATGCATCAATTCTTTGATCACAAGGACTCCATTGTAACTTTTAATAGTACAACGGCTATCTACTTACTTATGAAAGACCACGAGGACTATTTGTGCATACAACTCTTTAAAAATTTTCAATTCTCAATACTTTTGAAAATATACTCTATAAAACTTTAAAATATTTAAAAATTCACTCTGAAGAGACTTTCCATTCACCCCTTTATCATACCACTTGCTTCGTTACATTTTCATCTTCTTCTTTTAAAAAATGAAGATGATGGTGAAGAAGAAAGAAAGAAAAAGACAAAGAAGAGGATGGAGCAAGTGAGAATGACGGTTGGACGGAAAGTCCCCCTAAATTGAGTTTCTAGATGTTTTAAAGTACCTTAAAGTATATTTTAAAAAATGATGGAACTCAAAACTTTTGTCATAAAATTGGAAGTACATAGCAGCAATTTTGTTAGTCCAATAAGATAAAAATAATGGGGAAAACGGAGGGATCAACGAAAGTCCCCCTAGCCCAAAGTGAGTGTTCGAATATTTTTAAGGCATCTTAGAGTATATTTTGAAAAACAATAGATTCTAGTAGTTCTTACAACAAAATTGAGAACATTTTTTGTGAAAATAAATACTGGGAGTATGGAATAAAATCTTGGAGCTAGTTTAATAAGTTTTGGGGTAGATGAGTGGATCTTTGGATGACAGTATGATATGTATTTTAAAATCGGAGCGAATGGCACTCTGTTTAAAATCTAAAACAAATTATTGAAAGAAAAAAAAAGAAAACATCCTAAATAGGAGTAAAACATATACATATCCTTCAAATAGGAGTTCAAACTTAAATTTCTCTAAATAGGAGTAATTAATTAAATTTTGTTTTGATTTACTCTTCTGCACAAACCACACCACATCCCAGCCCTATGCGGTGGAAAAAGTCACCCGGCCCCTTCCCAATCCCATCCTTCTACGATCTCCTTCTTCGTTCTAATCTCAGTTGCTGACGCTGTCAACCTAATCTCAACCCGCTCTCAACCGTTACCATCTCCTATACGCGGCAAATCGACAATGATTCCACCACACATACTCTACATTACATCATCTCCCTTTCTCTCAAACACACAATCTCCTTTCACCCTTCTCCACCATTTCTATTTTTCATCGCTCGGATGCCTTTGTTCCCTTGGATAAGTTTGAATTCAATTTGATATTTAATTTGACATAAGTAGTTAAATTCAATTTTAAATCTAAAAATTTACTTCTTCGAAAATTATTTTGTAAAATTGGTACTAATTCTTTTAGCATTGCGTGAGTTTGAAACTTTAGATCAATTTTATATTCAATTCCACATAGGTTGTGACATTTGATTTTAAATCTGAATTTACTTCTTAGAAAATTATTTTGTAAAACATATATTGAAACTAAATGATTATTGTGTTGGCAAAGAGAATTTCTTGATGTTTGACTTTTTTGAGATTATGCATTAAAATATGTGCTAGAGGCAACACTTAAAGGTGATATTTATCAAGTTTTTCTCTTCTTAAGAATTTCAAATCAGAATATTTGAGTTGTGAATTAGGATACACATATAAATATTCAGGAGCAAGGTAGAAATAGCTGTATATGTCTGTGGTACTGAGCTTTGGGTGTGATTTTATTGTCATCCCTTGACGATATAGTTAAAAGAATTGTTTATTGACAATACTTTAACATTGGGTAAAAAATTAGCCGGCTTAGTAGTTAGCCGTTATTTTGATAAAAAATAAATATAGTGTCGTATTTTACTTTCTGACTCGAAAGTATAAACTATTTGTAAAGTCAACCATTTAATTAAAAAACGGTGGGGTTCTAGTGACACCGGAGTACGGTGCCACTCCGGTGCCACTGATATTTTGAGGTACCTCTGGTGCTCCGTTCGCAAAATTGACGGTTCCTACCCCCCAAACCCACCCCCTAAACCCCCCACCCTACCCCCGCCCCTGCACCCCCACCCCCACCCCGCCGTAAGCCCCCCACAAAATGTGTGGCTATTATGCGTTGCATAATAGCCACACATTTTGTGGGGGGCTTACGGCGGGGTAGGGGTGGGGGTGCAGGGGCGGGGGTAGGGGTGCAGGGGCGGGGTAGGGTGGGGGTTTATGGGGTGGGTTAGGGGGGGTTAGAACTGTCAATTTTGCGAACGGAGCACCGGAGGTGCTCCAAAATGCCAGTGGCACCGCTAGTGGCACCGTACTCCGGTGTCACTAGAACCCCACCGATTTAAAAATAGGTAATTGGGTTGATCTCGTAAAAAGGTGACTAACAACATATAGTTTGTTAAGTTTAGAGTTTGGTGTAAAAAGTTATGAGCAAAATAGATGGTATAGTTCAATAAATAAATATAAAGATTTTATAATATAATAATAATAAATAATTAATTTCTTAATCTATTCTAATTCCTACACGTAATTCAATGCCAAAGCTCATCCCCCCTTAAGTGTATAAATACACACGCGTGGAAGAAAAGAAAAAAACAAAAGAAGGGAGAAGAGAGCGTGAGAAGAGAGATACTGCTAATTGAGGACAAAAATTAATTAATTACTCCTAATTAGAGAAGTTTAAGTTTGAGCTCATATTTTGAGAATATGACATAACTTTTACTCCTAGTTTGGTCATTCTCCCAAGAAAATATAGAAGAAATTAAGGGGCTGTTTGTTTCAGCCTCTTAATGGTTCAGATGTCTGAATGGTTCAGCACTTAATGGTTCAGACTGTTTGTTTCAGCCTCTTAATGGTTCAGATGTCTGAATGGTTAAGAGATTTTCCTCTAAATGGTTAAGTATTATACAAAGTCTGAATGGTTAAGACCTCTTATCTGAATTGATCAAACATTTGCCTCTGAGTAATTAAGTAATATACTAGCTCTTAATGGTTCAGACCTCTTACTGGTTCAGCACCTAATGGTTCAAACCTCTTACTGGTTCAGCACTTACCTATTCAGAAGTTTCCAAACAGCCCCTAAGTCACACACATAATTGTTTAATGAACAATTAAGAAGTCAATTCAAATACAAATGTTGAGCACTATCGGTTAAATGACTAAAGTTATTTGTATTTATTGTTAATATATTTTAATATACTCATGATATTACAACGTTATATTTTTGTAAATATTTGCTACGTCGGGACGCGTCGCATGCATGCATGCACACGCGTTCGCGTGTGTGCGTGTCGTGTCGAGCTGAACGGAGCGGACGATGTGTGCATGATCCTTTCTTTCCTTATTCTCAAATTGCTTTGCGGTGCAATTCAATGCTAGCAACAAATGGTGGAAGATGAAAAGTCTCAAATCCGAGGTAGGATACATGAGTTTTTACTTCTTCTAAGTATTCGACTTTATGACTTAATTTCTCATTCAATAGATCACCATTTTTTGTGCATACTATATCGAAATACTCGTCTCACTTTGAAGATTAATTTACCGTAATTATTTTGGTAAAATAATTTTATGGACCCCACCAAATATATGTCCCGTTAAGATCCAAAATTCCTCATTTGATTTGTGAGTGATTGAATGCTTTTACTTTGAAAAATCTAAAAGTCCTAGTTTGTTAAGCGTATCGAAGTGGTATCAGCTACACAAAGACATTAAAGAGCGGATCTTACGTAAATAAACATCTCTTTTAGCATCTATTTTCTTTCACGG